AGGCTCTGTGCAGCCATGAGAAGTTGCCATAATTGAACTGATGCCTTTGCATAGAAACATCTGACAGCTTAATGAAAGGTGTAGTGATCTCTGTTGGAAAAATTAAAAAGTGCTAGACTGATAAAACTGAATTAAATCCTTCTCTGGATTGGGGTGTTCTTTAGTACTTTGCAGTCCGTTGCCTAATACATGTAGAACTAGGTTTGCAATTGCACTGACTCAAAAGATGGATGAAACTATGCACTGTCCATCATACAAATACTGTGCTCTTCAGTCATGATGCGGCAGTTCAACTCTTGTATCTGAGAGCTGTCATATCTGCTTCTTACCTCTCAGCAGAAATGCAAAATTATTTGAGGATGACTGGAATTATGATGTTATGTAGGACGGAAACTGTGACTAATTAATTTGATTATAATCGCTATTGGGGTGAGCTCACTGTTTCTGCTTTTTTTTCCCCATTGTATTTGACAAACTCAGAGGATCTGGAAGTAAAGAATGCCAGGCAGTGAATGCACTGCTGGTAATTACTGGACTTCTCAAACACTGTTGTGTTTCAGGTTGCAAGTGGACGGAGGGAGGTACTGGCCCTATCTTTGAGCCAGAGGAAGTCAGTCATCTGGTTACTTGGCAAGATGGCCGCTGCAGTCCTGCCTTCCTCTCTTCTCTTCCTCTGCCACAGTCACATATCAGCTTGGCTACAGGATTTGGCTGTGCCACCATCTACTGGTATTTAAAGAAAAGGTACATTGTTTCTCAAAAGGGCTTCTGTGTTAGGCTGTTTCACTTACGGTTTCTCATCTTGAATTTATATGACAATTAGTATTCCTATAGCATGTTAATACAACTCTGAGCTCAGGGGCTTGTAATCATAATATTAAGTACTCAGAGAGTATTTGTATTTGCAGATTTTAATATAAACTGTGCAACTCAGCATGCAAGTCTTTCTGACCTCATTAAGAATATTGCAGATCTTTTTAATGAAAGGAAAAAATTTTGACTACATAGAAATAAAATAATTATAGTCCAGCCTACTGCTCAAAGAAAGTCTACTGAAATAGCTTGAACACTAACTTTGGTTGTGCACACTGTGGAAAGTACAAACATGCCTAAAACAGTAACAGAGTTGATTTGGCTGGTTGCTGCCAGATGTTAAAGAAACAATCCCTAAATTAATTTCAGTTCCTTCCTTCTTTAGACACCACGATTCTTATGAAGTGTCACTGATGCTCTGCTTTATTGTGGCATTTTTGCAGAGGATGCAGTTTTTCACTTACAACATTGCACCAGAAGGATTTGGTCTTCAGTTTCATCTGCAGGAGGCTACATTTCTCACAGATGATGTCCTCCTCATCCATAAGTTGAGGCTAAATAGAGACATATCAGATGTTGTTTTCAGTCAACATGTGTTCAGTAGATACCTGGGATGTGACATGATCTTGCTTTAGAGCCGTGCAACTCACTAGCCCGAAGTCTTTGATTTGTTCCCGTTCTGTTTCACTACTTGGTACATATTCATTTGTGTAGTTTGTGAATCTTATAGCAACTGCAGGAATTTACTTGTTTTTCTCGAATGCTCTGGAATGTGACATTCTTGTACAAATAATTATTATCTTCCTTGTATGTTTTGCTGTGTTGTTCCTTCAAACCTGGACGGCTTGTGCCACTGTCTCTATCTTCCATGAGGAAATACCAGCAGTGTTGCTGCTGTGATAAGAGCTTGGAAAACAAATCCAATTAAAAACGTGCACAACAGCAAACAAGCAAAAATGAACTAACAGAAAACAATAACAGCCCACCAAATCCAATGTAATCACTGAGATACTGAGATTACTGTTTTGTTTTTAGGAGATGGGACTGCATACATCTGAAGTTCCTGTAGCACTGGACATAACCTTGCTTCCAAGGTCTAAAAGCTCCCTTTGCTGATTTTCTTTTTAAAATGTTTTGTTTAAAAGTCCAGACTTTCTGAAGTCTTATGATGCAGCTGGTACTATCCATGACTATGTGGTTGCCATGTTGTGTGACTTGAAGAAGCCTCTCATGTCTGTCCAAAATGCCGCCAGCTGGGGATATTTTAATTCCAGAAACAAAAGCTGGAATACTGACATGTAAGTGCTAAGGTCAATCAGTGGGTTTCGTGCTTTGTGTCAGGCAAAGTGAACACCATTTTGGGCCCTAAGTATGAATGTGTTACAAGTAGAGTGATCTTACTTGTGGTGTGGCTTGTACTGAAGGACTGTTGGGTTTGCTCTTGTTCTGTATGGTGTCTGTGTCTATGTTATATAAAATTATGTATTTTATGGCACTGTATTTTTAGAAATACCTAAGACAGCATAGCTGAGAGACTTATCAGACTTGTTCTCTCTTTCTGTTGTGTGATGGTGGGATGGGATGAAGAAGTGAATGCTGCATCTAAGGCTGTGATGATAAAATACTGTTAATACTGGCAACTTCTTTCAACAGAGCTCCCTTGTAACTGTTGAGATTTATTAGTGATGATAGTTACAGTTTTCTAGGGGCTATGGGATGTCTTGCAGGAAACTGGCTTTACTTATTTATTTTTACTGATTTGCTCTTTCAGGGCAAAGCTGTAAGGCTGTGTGTATTTCAGGGCTTAGGTTAGGCCAGGATTCCAAGATCTTCTCCTGAAGGTAAATTAGTGCCTAATACCTTGAAAGAGTGTCAGAAACTTGCATTTGGCATGCTGAACTCCCACTAACCTCCTGTTTTTGCTGTAGCAAAATAGTGTGCCTTGCAGTTTATTTGCATAAGGAGTTTGTTGGACTTAACTCTTTGTGATTTGGTTTTGAACCACTAACTGCATGACAGCTCAAAATTCTGAAGAATTTGTTGAATTTGTTGAAGTTGAAGAATTTAAAGCTGAATTTTTATAATTGTCCCTCGACTGTGGAACTGCTTGTCTGTCTGACTTTTTATACAGGTATTGCTTCATCATCTCAGGTAATCAGATTGTATATAAAGAAAAGCTATTTGTTCTTCCAGACTATTCTTGTTCACTCAACCTGTTGAACTGGAACTCGACTGAGCTTTTTCAACAGATGAAAGCATCTGCAAATCCAGCAATGGTATTTTTTCCTGCAATGATATTGTTCTGATTGCAGATTGAAAAAGTCTGGCTTTCCTGTTCACTTGCTTCCAGAGGTGGGAGACCCTGGCAGTATTGCAGGCAGGACAATCAGTGCATGGCATGGAATACCCAAGGGAACAAAAGTGGGAATTGCTCTGGGAGACTTTCAGTGCTCCGTTTATTCCTGTCTGACTGAAAGAACTGATGCAAGTACGATCATTTTGGTATCTTGCTTGGTTTTCTCGTTGTCCTCCTTCAGAGTAGGACTGGAAACACTGAATTTTTTCTTTTTTTCTCTAGTTCTCAATATCAGCACCTCTGCTCAGCTGACTATCTCAATGCCCTCGGGTTTCCAGCCTCCGGAGACACCGGATCCTTCCTCAGCTGTCTCTTACTTTCCTTACTTTGATGGTGACTACTTGGCAGTGGCAGCATCACTTAATGGGGGCAATGTGCTAGCAACGTTCGTGAACATGGTGGCACGGTGGACAGAAGAGCTAGGTAGGTTAATTTAAGGGTAATTAAGACTTAAAATTGTGGTTGATCACGGTAAAGGGAAGCTATGGTAACGGAGCAAGCTCAGGGCTGTTTTGTCATGCCGTATAAGGAACAAGGATGTAGGCCTGGTCATGCTTCCTCAGTGTCTGGAATTTCCTTTGGAAGCTAGTGAACAAGTTTGGACAGTCATCTTTGGGCTCAACATTCACACTGCCTCTAGATTTGGGGGTTTCTTTTGTTTTAAGAACAGAAGAGAATGTTTTTTGCAAGTTGTTTTTTTTAAAGGAAAGGTCAATAAATTCTAGAACAGCCTCTGAGTTTGTGTGGCTGCAGTCCAAAAGAGTCCCTTGATTTTTGTCTGTTGCTTTTAATGCATATTTTAGAGCAGTCTGATGGATTTTAAGATTTAAACTCATATTTATCATCTAAGTGCTTTAAATGTGGCGTTTATGATTGTGGTGTTTTGGTTTTCATTGTTGTTGTTTATTTTTTATAATCTCCTGGGTTCCACAGTGCAGAAATAAGCTCTGAAATAATTCTTTCAGTGAGTTCTTGAAGTGAAAAACTCAGCATTCAGCTTCAGTGGCTGAATTGTGTGTGAAGTCTGCCATTATTGCCTTTAAGAGGTGCTGTTTTCTGTGACTTTGCACAGTGTAGGCAGAGACAGATAGTGTATTACTAGAAACAGCCATTTCTTCAATCAGAAAAGGTTTTCTGGTATGACAGATAGTAGATAAGTTTGGATTGAGAGAACTGAGTTCATAATCCTGGAAAAACAATGACCTTTGATGCAAAGGAAGAAGGTATACAGCATTTTTCTGAACAAATAGCTCAATATTCATTTTAAGTCTCCATGTGTAACATATACTAAACCTCTTCAGAATAATAACGTGACATTTCTGATCTGCAGGATTTCAGATTCAAGAGTCTGCCATCTATGCAAAGATAATCAAAGCAGCCTTGGACCAAAACGACAGCCATCTCTCAGTCCACCCAACCATATTTGGAGAGAGACACACTCCTGAGCAGTTGGCTTCAGTGACCAGCATTGCTGCCTCTGAGCTCTCCCTGGGCCACGTAACCAGAGCTGTGTGCAGGGGCCTCATTGAAAACCTCTGTTCCATGCTGCCAGTGCAGCGCCTGCTGGAGACAGGAGTGCGGAGAGTTCTGGGGAGCGGCAGCGCTCTTGCCAGGAATGAGGTGCTGAGGCAGGAAGTGGAAAGGATTTTTCCGTTCCCTGTGGTTTATGGGAAAGATGTTGATGCTGCTGTGGGGGCTGCCATGGTGATGTTCCAGGGAAAATAAATTACTGTTTGGAATGGCCTGAGATGCGTCATCTTTTTTTAATTATTATTATTTTTGTTCTCGGCTGTTCAGTGTTTCCTTTCACTTCCTTGCTTTCTCTGGAGTTGTTCAGCCTGCCATCTCACTCATTACATTGAAAAAAAATCAGCTTGCATTGTCTGTTTGTGTGTGCACAGGGTCCTCCATTTCCTTGTTCTGTAATTCCTGCTTGTGAAATAAGTAATCATCACATTAAATTTGACTGAGTCACTAGGAAAGAGCCATTAACTTTCTCCATAAAATGATACTTCATGCAAGGCTTGTTTTCCTGGTAGGAAGTGTGTCTGGGAGGACTGGGAGAAACCAGCAGCAACTTAACATGATGCTTTCATTAGAGACTTTTTATTCTCAGGGTCTTTCGTAGTATACATACAGCATGACAACAGAGGAGGATCTCAATCTTATTTAAGAAGCTTGGTGGCACACCAAAGCTGTGGGATGCACACCCAAGAAAAGGGAATAAATTCCCTCTTGTTTGTTACTCTTGCTTTTGATCAGCTTTAGCACATTCTGATGAGCAGAATCACAGAAACACCAAAGTTGGAAAAGACCTACAAGAAGGTCCCTGTGGAGGTAGAATATGTCACTGACAACTATTGCAGAAAGTAATGGAGTGGCTGCTGGTAAGAAAGAAGTAACATCTTCACAGGAAACAGAAATCAAGTAGGCTGATGGGGTTGACATCAATGCTCAGAAAATGCCAGAGAGCTCCCAAAGTGCACACATGAGAACATGGCAAAACTGAGAAGAGTTGATGCTGGAAGTGGGAGGAGAGAAGGAACACTTAGCAAAAGCAAGAAGCTAGAGACTGAGTAAGGGAGACCTCCATGTAGTTTTCTTACTAAGCTCTGTGCTGAAAATAATGAAGGAGTTAATCATAATGCTGAAGCAGATGCTTAGCTCAGCAAAGTTCCAGGACGACCAGCCAAGAACCTGGTTTATTGGTAATCTGTATTTATGTATTAATGCACAGGCATTATATTTTATTTGTATGTGATTCCACAGAGTATTTTAAGTAGTGTAATTAGTTTGCTGTTGAATAGACAAATATGTTATTCTTTTATATATGGATAGATGGTAGGACTAGAAAGATCTCTTATGCTCTGTAATTTCATTCAATAATTTAATTATCTAGCTCCATAGCTCCAAAGCTGGAACTGGAGGTTTTTTCTGGCCTGACAGCTACAGCCTAGTGACTTAATCTTCTGGAAAAACTCTCTAGGCTGGTCTGGTGGAAAGATCTTATATGAGTGGTACATTTAGCAATATTTGACACAGTTCTTCATTTGTAAGGGTATTAGATCCATTTTTGATTCAATTGTTCTGTTGCTATTGCTGTTGTTTTCCTGATGGCAACACTGTTTGAAAGCTTGCTGTTCCATATGTGTTATTTAAATAAAGCATAATAGGAATGTGGAATGATAGAATGTCTGTAGGACTTTCAGTTGGGTTCTCCCTCCACTCTCTTCAGAATCAGCTTGTATGTGAAATACTCTATAGGGCTTTGCTGCAGCCACTCAAGAGGGCCCAGAAAGATGAATAATCTCAGAGAAAAGCTGTGGCATATTTTACAAAGTTTTGTGAAGTGAAATGAAGCTGTGAGCTGCAGGAACAATTGCTGTTTGATGGTTTGGGCTTTTTGCAAGCTTGAGTGTATTTACGAAGAGGAAATCTGTAGAAGAGTATCCATTACTAAATGCAATTAGTGGGGGAAAAACAACAGCAACTTGCTGTGATTCTTGTAAAGAGCTTTGCTGAACTCCTGGGAATAGAAGCTACTGATGCTTCTGGTTCCAGAACTGTTCTTAATGGTTTTATTACTCTATTCCCTCTTCTACTGAACTTCCCTTGATTCTAAAAAAAATTAAAATCATCTGCACATAGAACGATTGAACGATAGAACGAACATAGACAAATGGAGTGGAGAAGCAAACTCTGAAGTCTTTGCAGCCCAGGCACCTAGGAGGAGGAATCTCTGGCACCAAATTCCTGTAGAACAGAGGGCGTTTACTGAGACTATTTTGCAGAAGACAGGATTTTTTTGCAACATTCGTAAGTTCTGTACATGTATTTGAGTAGTATGCTTGCTAGTTATTTGTAAGCACTCTATTATTTATCTTAAGTTGTGATTCAGTTAGACATTGTAAAAAAGTGTTTCCTTGTTTATCAGATCAAGCTTTAATCACATGGGCTTCAAGAGTTAGGTGGGTTACGTGTTTTTCCAGGAGATGTATATTTCTTTCAAGAATATTTCTATTGAATTTGAATGTTGTGTTTTTTTTTTTTTTCCAAATTCAAACTTAAAAGGAAATGCAGCTTTGTCTGCATTATCAGAGATACTGACAGTGGGCATTAGAAATAGAAGCACATGCAGTAACTGAGACAGGTTTGAGTAAATTGGCAGGAAGACAAGATTAAGGCTGTTCTGCTTATTCTAATGTTATAGATATTCTGTGTAAATTACATGATTCCATTTTGCATAGCCATCTCCCTGATGCTTTTGGCTTGATTCACGTTGATTTAAGTGAGACTAAAATTAAAAATCATACATGTCTGTATTCCTACTATATTTTTTTCCTTTTTTTTTATATAAAAGTATGTTTGTAACTTTTTACTTACTGTGCTTGTTCTTCTGTACTTCTGGTATCATGTTCCAAGGGAGAATATTTTTCTATAGAGAACTTCTTACTTACAGAACAGTTAACAAAAAACAGTTATTCTCTCAGGGTGATTGGACACAGGGACACAGAAAACTTGAAAGGTGAGCCCAGAAGACTCAGCAATTTGAATTGCAGTCTTTAGTGTTTCATCTGTACTTTGCTGTTTTGCTTCCAGTTACCCTAAATGTGCACATTGATGTTTTATTTCCATGTATGTTATAGAAAATGGTAGGAAATGCAAAAGCCTGACAAGTCTCTTTCCCATCCTGCTTGGAAAGGAAAAAGTAAGTGATTCTTAGTGTAAATATTATCTCATGCCATGCAGGGGTTACAGTGCAGCTTTACTGTGCGTTGTAGGTTTGCAGATGATCCCTCAGAAGATTTTTATGAAGAGAAACAGCCTTGAAGCTTATTTATGTTGAATTCAAACTGAATGTACAGAGATAATTGCTAATGACTGGTATTGGTGTATAATTGAAAGCCTTTTGAAGATTTTGTAATGCTTATGTTCATAGCTGTAAGATTTTGTAGCAATCTAGAATTGGAGAATTTGATTCTAAAGCTATCCAGTTCCCTCTTAAAGCCAGCTATGTAGTAGCTCTGGTACGATGTATTCCTGTCTCCACTGGATTTCCAGGATATTTCACATTCAGTGATGTGAACACCAACATTTCATTGGTCAAAGCAGTTTGATAAGAAAGACAAAATCCCTATTCTACCTTTAGTATGGCATATTTGTTAACTTGTGTCAAGCTCTTTGTGGTTGTAAATCAGACAAGATCAAACCTGTGGTCTTACAGTCATCTTTTATCTGCGGTAAACTTTTCTATTTCCTAATCTTGTGTTTGAGGCGACACCAATCTCACAAGAGCTACAAGCCCCAGTTTTCATCTAGCGCTGCTGTAACCCTGGTAAAGCCACTAAGTGATACCCTTCCAAAAACAGGAAGCCCTCTCTGCTCAAGATCATTAAGATATGATTACAGCACAAGATATCAGGCTTCTATCACAGGCTTGATGTACTCCTGAAAATATATTGTGGCACAAATCAGTTAGAAAGCAGAACATAAATGCAGAGATTATTTGTGGTCTGAAGTTCAGGCCTTGACAGACATTGGATTTTAAGCAGAAGTGACTGAGTTTGCAGTGTGGTGGCTGGCAAGCTCAGGTACACTCTGGTTTGCTTTCTCTATTCTGAAATGAATGGGGCAGTGGAGACAGTAAAAAAAAACAAAACAGCATAGGGATAACAACCTACTAAACTGCCTGAACTCTAAGCATAGTGAATATGTGTCCTGTTTCATTTCTGAGATGAGACAAATCAATTAATTCCTGGCTGTTTCTGGAGCACAATCCTAGGCAAAAAGGGACTTGTGGCACTCTAAAATGCTGACCTGAAGTGTTTGTGTGGTTTGTTGCAGGCTGCATGTTCATCATGTCTTCCATTCTTGAGAAGATGAAGAAATTTGGCAGTTCTGACATAGAAGAATCTGAAGTGACAGATGAACACACAGATGGGGAAGATTCTGCATTGGAAGCACCTGACAACCTGCAGGGTACATTCAGCAGCAAGGTGCAGCCATCCAGAAGCAATATCTTCGCAAGACGTGGACGATTTGTGATGGGGGATAGTGACAAAGACATGGCTCCAATGGATTCCTTTTACCAGATGGATCACCTGATGGCACCTTCTGTCATCAAATTTCATGCCAATATGGAGAGGGGGAAACTTCACAAGTAAGTTTGCCTTTTAAAATGTGGTTGAAATGAGTACATTTTGGCAGTCGTAGGCTGTGCTACTTAGAGCAGTATTTATTGTTTGCACATTTGCGTGCCTGTCTTCTCAGTTTTGCTATTTTTGGTGCCTAAAGGAGTATTTTGCTTGAAATTGATACTAGCTCTCATCACTTTGCATCTCTAAAAATCCAGCCCATGAATCTTAATGATAAGATTTAGTTCGCACACTTGAAACTGCTCAGTAAATGGACATTGCTCAGAATAAGAACCTGGTACTGCCTGGATCCCACACCTGCATTTAGACTGCTGTACTACAATGCAACGTGAAATCTTGCTTTCAACATTTCAGCAGCAAACTCCTAATTTTATCAGGACAGTTGCTATCAGATGTTATTGATCTTGTACATTTTGGAGATCCATCTGTGCTCATCATTGTACTTGCTATTTTGCACAAGCAAATGAAAAATAGTTGTGTGGTAGTTTATAAAAAGCCTGCTAAATGCCTGGTTTTAGTAACTAAAATTTACCCTGTTAGGCTCCTGTCAACAGATTCCATCACAGGCTGCTCTGAAAAAGCTTTCAAATTTTATGACCGCAGAAGGATCTTTGATGCTGTAGCCCAAGGCAACACAAAGGACCTGGATGATCTGCTGCTCTATCTTAATAGGACCTTGAAGCATCTCACAGATGATGAATTCAAAGGTATCACATAATGTCACATACCTAAAGATGCCCTTGTCTTCTTCCAAGACTACTCCTGAGACGGGTAACAGGGTGGGGGGAATAAAAACTTCCTGCACAAAACAGCATTGTTAAATGTAAACTAGCTGTAGAGGGTCCTCTGATAGCCTGTAGTTCCTACTGATTAGGCAGTCCATTGATTGAAAGGCACAGGAGAATGCAGAAAATTGATGTTTTCTGTGGAACTTTGGCTGGATTTTCTTGTCTTTTCAAAAGAACCACGTTAATTCTTGCATGCTTGGGAGTAGATTTCTGTGTAGACATTTCTAGACATTTCTGTGTAGCTGTAATTTTGTTCATTTTAGAACCAGAAACTGGGAAAACCTGCTTACTGAAAGCCATGCTGAATCTACATGATGGGAAAAATGATACCATTCCCTTGCTGCTGGATATTGCAAAGAAAACTGGAACTCTGAAAGAGTTTGTGAATGCAGAATATACTGACAACTACTACAAGGGTAAGAAAACAGAGAATACAGTTGAAATAGTGAATACTCTTGCTGATAAGACTGGAAATAGGGCTAGGCAGGGCTCTCAGTCTTCTGTGTGAGGTGTTATGCTTGAGGAGGGAGTGCCCCAAAGTTCCAGTGTGTGATTAACAACCAGTGCATTCATGCTAGATCTGTCTTGTTAAACAGGTGCAATATTCCACCCTTTGTGACAGAGTGATTTAACAGCAAGTTCCAGGGGCTTCCATTTGCTGTTTGTGCCATCTTTTTTTGTTTAATTCTACAGTTTTGTAAGTCTACAGAGCTCTCGGTTCCACCATCTAATGTGAAGCTGAATGAATTGTGCTACTCTCAGTTTGTGTTAAAAGTTGAAGATTTCTTTCTGTCTCTGTAGGCCAGACTGCACTCCACATTGCCATTGAGAGAAGGAACATGTACCTGGTTAAACTCTTGGTCCAGAATGGAGCGGATGTTCATGCAAGAGCATGTGGGGAGTTCTTCAGGAAAATCAAAGGGAAACCTGGTTTTTATTTTGGTAGGATTAAGCGCATTATGAGCTTGATTGAATGAGTTATCCTAGCATTATCCCAACTGAAAGATGTTAAATAATCCTGTTTATTTGAGACTGGAGGCTTGAAAGTCATAAATGGTTTGATGCATGACTTATTCCAGATACTTTCTTCCCAAAGATGAGTGCATAAAGAAACACAGTAGCTGATGATGTTCATTGCCAGCTTGCTGTCTCCATCCTTTTATTTTTTGAGCACTTCTTTTTTGAGAGATTGTAACCTTCCACCACTCTTTATTTTGTGTTTTTATAAGCAGCCATGTTTCTCTAGTGCAGTTAAGCTGAAGAAAATGTGATAGCTGTTTGAATCCCAAGAGTTAAACAGAGAAATCCACCTCTTCTCACAGTGAAAGCTGAAAATAATGTGGTCTCTTTTCTGTTTATGCATGTCTACTAGGCATTCTGACCACTCATTTCTTATCCATAGGAGAGCTGCCCCTGTCTCTGGCTGCCTGCACCAATCAGCTCTGCATTGTGAAATTCCTCCTTGAGAACCCCTACCAGGCTGCTGATATTGCTGCTGAGGACTCCATGGGCAACATGGTCCTGCATACTCTGGTGGAGATTGCAGATAACACTAAGGATAATACCAAGTTTGTTACCAAGATGTACAATAACATATTGATCCTTGGTGCCAAAATAAATCCTATCCTGAAGTTGGAAGAACTCACCAACAAAAAAGGGCTGACTCCATTAACATTGGCAGCCAAAACAGGGAAGATAGGGGTAGGTGAGCAAATGTGTCCAGCTGTCCTTTACTGTTATGTGATACAGAGTACAGGTGGAACATTTACGCAGGATAGATTTTATCACTGCTTATTGCTAAGTCCTTTCTATTAACAGGAATTAATATTGCAGTCCAACATGCAAAACTGCACAGTGCTTAATGCCCTTGAGAAGTGTGTGTGCATGCATGCATCTGCCCAGGTGGCACTACATGCATACTAGCAGTACATGAGACAGCCCAGGTGGAAACAGAAAGTGGGTTTCTGCTATCTTCTGAACAAGAGGCCTGTACTTTTGATTGATGGATGGAACTCACCATCTGACTGTCTCCATTCATCATGACTGTATACTCAGATGTATAACAAATATTTCTGTATTTCTCTGGTAGGTTTGAAACATGGATAATTGCAAATTGTATGTAGTAGAAAGTAATGAAATGAACTTTATTCTACATCTGCATTTTCCATCCACCAGCATACAGTGAGAAAATTAAATTTTTTTTATTCAGACTTCAATCTCTTTCAGTCCAGTCCAGTGAATTAACTTCAGCATAGTTAAACTGTGTTAATCTAAATAAAAGTATTCATCTGTTATGAAGATACTGAGGAACTAGAACTGTCAGCACTGAAATGCTGGTTGTGTTGTTCTTTTCAATTAGATTTTCGCTTACATCCTCAGACGAGAGATCAAAGATCCTGAGTGCAGACACTTGTCAAGGAAGTTCACTGAATGGGCTTATGGACCTGTCCACTCATCTCTTTATGACCTGTCCTGCATAGACACATGTGAGAAAAATTCAGTGCTTGAAATTATTGCCTACAGTAGTGAAACACCAGTAAGTATGTACTTCCTTGATGTTTATTTGCAGACTGGGGACTGCTGGAGAAGAGCTTTGTGTTCTACACAGTACATCTTTTGTGTCATTTCTGTAAAACAACAACTTGTATTAGAGGAAGCATTTGCTAAAATTGAGCATCACTTGCTATTTTTAAAGCCCAGTGCATATGGAACCTGTCAAGGTTCTCCTCTTTATCTTTCCACTCAGAATCGTCACGAGATGCTGCTGGTAGAACCCCTTAACAGGCTGCTGCAAGACAAGTGGGACCGGTTTGTCAAGCACTTATTTTACTTCAACTTCTTCGTATATGCAATTCATATCAGCATCCTGACCACGGCTGCCTACTACAGACCTGTGCAGAAGGGGGAAAATGTATGTTGTCACTCTCAGTGCGTGATATCCCAGAGCAGCCTCCCATTTGCATGTGTGCTCCTAATGTCAGTTTTCTTCCTTTCCTGAAGGTGGGAGGGAGACTTTGATCTCACTTGCTTTTCAGGCAAGACTTGCACCCTTGGTGCAGCACATTCAGAAATTTAACTTGTTATCTCAGAAATGTAATTGTTTTCAGCCACTGGCAAGGACAGGTCTTTCCTATCTCAAGTTCTGCTGAATATCTCTGTGTTCTGTTTTACACAGCCTCCCTTCACTTTTGGTCACAGCACTGGGGAATATTTTCGAGTGACTGGAGAGATACTGAGCGTATTGGGAGGACTGTATTTTTTTTTCAGAGGGGTAAGATACTTGAAACTTTTCTTTTTTGCTGTAAGTGCAAGTGAGAACCAAACCTGCCTTTTGAATTCATTGCCAAGATAATACATGTTTTAATCTAGAGCTGCAAAGCTTTTTCTTTGCCCTGGTTAGGAGATATCAGGTTGCTAACAAGCCCTTTGTCTAAGGTACAGTTTTATCTATTGTGCAAAGAGAGACCTAAGAAGTCAATGAGCATCTAAACAGTTATGTTGGCCAAAATGTAAGAATGGAGTATTGCAAGTAGCCAAACCTGCATTTAAGTTTAGCTGTCCTGGTTTAAAGTCAGTCACCTTCCTCTTGGCAACCAATGGGGAATATACAGTGATTCACAGATCTTCAGACCAGTGGCTGAATAGACTGGAGTCACCAAAAGAGGTGAGGCCCAAGATGTAAGGGGAATGTTACGTTACCAAAGTGTCTCCCTTGCAACAGTGTTCTTTTAACTGTTCTTGCCAAATGTTGGATGGGTACCAGCTCCCTGGTATAGAAACCAATGCTTAGCTGATATATTCACTTGGGATATTTACTCTCTCCTTGGATACAAAGTTAGTCTTCATTCTGTTTTTTTTCTTTCTTTCTTTCAGATACAGTATTTTGTGCAGAGGCGCCCATCATTGAAGACACTGATAGTTGACAGTTACAGTGAAGTTCTTTTGTAAGTGCCTGTGTCTGTGATTGTATCTCAGCATGAAGCGGGTGACTGTGAGATCTGTTGCTTTGGCTTAAACCACTTCTAATTGGTAGGCACCTTACAAAATACTTGCCAGTGGCTATTGTAGCACTTAAACAAGTGTGTCTGGATCAGTAATGTGGAGGTAAAGCAGATTAAGCGTTCAGAAATGTAGTGACTGCATCATGCAGCTGAGTTAGGAATAGATCTCCAAGTTGGACTTGCAGTGCAGTATGTGCACTGGTTGTGCAGACATCCTCCCATTCCCGAGGGAAACTTTCATTTGGGCCCTTTGTTTTCTTAGAGGAGGTGCAGCTAAAATGGGCAATTTCATGTGTCTGTGGAAGGACAGGATGTGTTAAAGAAATGAATGTCATCAAGGACTTTTATTCCCTTCAGTCAGAATGAAGAGCAAGAGTATATGAAAGTTTGTATGTGGGGAAACTGAAGAGCTTGCAAAGGAAACTGTAGGACTGGAGAAGGAAAAGAATGAATGGAAAAGAAAGGAAGGGTCTGCCAAGGCTTCTGTGCATTCAGTATGCTGTATATCTCATGTTTCTCCTCTGTTCATACCACCTATGACTGTCTCAGCACTCTGGATTCAGAACATACTTGTCTTTCAGCTTTGTTCACTCTTTGCTCCTCCTGAGCTCTGTGGTGCTGTACTTCTGTGGCCAGGAACTGTATGTGGCTTCCATGGTCTTCTCCTTGGCTCTGGGCTGGGCTAACATGCTATACTACACCCGTGGCTTCCAGCAGATGGGCATTTACTCTGTCATGATTGCAAAGGTCAGTACAGTGAGGGGGTGGTGAGGCTAGCAGAGTGCTCACAAGAGGAAACTGCCACCAGTGCCTGGGTTTCTAGGAGTGGAGTCACCAGGTGCTTTCGTGATGTCGTTGGAAAGCCCATCAGAGAACCACACTCAACTTTTATTTTCTGAGCGAAGAGATAGACTTTTTAAGTCATAGAAAAAAGCACCTGTTCCACATCCATGCATTTTATAGCGGTCTTAATACCTTCTGTTACTCTTATGCTTTGAAGTAACTCTACAGTTGGATAGACATAGGTGTGTCTATGTTGACTGAGAACATTAGAGAGCTCATCTGGTGTGAAATAGCAGGACTTTCTGCCAGCTGGAAATTTCCTTAAGAATAGTTTACATGTTACCAAACAGAGCAGTTAAGTGGGAGGCAGTAACTGCTACTAAACCTCTGTATGATGTAGCCATCTAGTCCAAGAGGGGAAGAAAGAGGCAATTATCTTAATATGATTTACACTCACAAAGATGAAACTATTTGTTAAGCGTGTATCTTGCACACATGTGTAAACTATTGCTTGAATAACAGAGGAAAATGTTTTCTGTATTAAAGTTAATCATCTTGGCAGGATGAACAACAGTTTAATGCATAAGCAGCCACTTCACAGCAGTTGCCTTCTGGAACTGAAGGAATATTTTCGACCAACTTTTGTTACAGTTTATGTTCAAGGTTTTGCAATAGAAAAATGTTCCATTTCTATGTTACAGATGATCCTAAGAGACTTATGTCGCTTCATGTTTGTCTATCTAGTATTCCTCTTGGGATTTTCCACAGGTAATATCAAACTTGGAGTTGTTTTTGTTGTTGTTTTTTTTTTTTTTTGTTATCTCAAAGAATCTCAGAAAATTGTATTTTTCAGTTAGAAAACTTGAAACTAGACTTGGAATTTTTGTTTTCAAAGAAAAACTAACAAATCAATGTTGTTACAAAAGTCTTTTCAGAATAACAGCTATGTGTATGACTGTTTTTCATGCCTGGGTCTCAGACTGCTTAACAAAGCTGAATGGATAAACAATCATCCTGTTCTACATAGACAAACCTGAGACAACACTTACTGAAACGTGACAGTTATGGGGGACTATTTTATAGAGCAATTTCATTGGGGACGAGGTGCCATGAAAATATTTTGTCTTATCTGATACTTTCATGCTCATTTTTATTGCTTGCAATAGATTTATGTTCTCAAATTATATTTTCATCTTCTATGTGATTCTTCTTTTGCTACAGCTGTGGTGACTCTAATTGAAGATGACAATGAGGGGCAGGACACAAATAGCTCTGAATATGCCCGATGCAGCCATACAAAGCGAGGCCGCACATCCTATAACAGTCTGTATTATACCTGCTTGGAACTTTTCAAGTTCACTATTGGGATGGGAGACCTGGAGTTTACAGAGAACTACAGGTTCAAGTCCGTGTTTGTCATCCTTTTGGTTCTCTATGTCATCCTTACGTACATCCTCCTGCTCAATATGCTTATTGCACTGATGGGAGAAACTGTGAGCAAAATTGCACAGGAGAGCAAGAGCATCTGGAAACTCCAGGTATCTTGGTTCTGTGAGGCTATCCAAGATGGAGGTTGTGGAGAATTTAAATGTCATGCTAACAGAGGTGATGTTTCATGGATGGGTCTGATGCATGCTTTAAGGTGGTGATAACAATAAAAGTTCAAGATTTATTTTTCTAATTAAAGGCAGAATTCAGGATTTACGTGGCTGAAACAGCAGGTTCTTAGTGGTCTGCTTTGTTTTCCCTGTTAGAGAGCCATTACAATCTTGGATATTGAAAACAGCTACTTGAACTGTTTGAGGCGCTCGTTCCGATCTGGAAAGCAAGTCTTGGTGGGGATCACACCTGATGGCCAAGATGATTACAGATGGTGCTTTAGGTAACCTGCTTGTATGTCAAATGAGCAATCTTTTATAGACAAACAGCATTAAGTATTTGATAATTGATAATGGGAAGAAGAACTGTCCCCTTGGAGCTCTCCTCCAACAAGTGCCATACTACAGTAGTCAGTTTAATCTATTTTCTGGGTCAGACCTTTGGCTTGAGAGTTGGCAGTAGGTGATATAAACTCATCCTGGGATTCTCTCTTAATGCTTAGAATAGATATTCTTTTTGTTGTTCTTTCCCCAGAGTTGATGAAGTGAACTGGTCCACGTGGAATACTAATCTGGGCATAATCAACGAAGATCCTGGGTGCTCTGGGGACCTCAAACGAAATCCCAGTTACTCTATTAAGCCTGGTAGAGGTGAGGGTTTCAGGGACCTAGATTCTAATGATAGAAGCAGTACAGATTGTTTGTTAGAGGGCAGTCTGTTTATACATTTAAGTATAATGATGGAAGCTAAGTTTATGTCTTTTTCAATCAACAACAAAATGTAGAGGACTATGTGGGCTTATTACTCGCATAGCAGTTTTATTCTCTGGAAGAAAAGCACTATGGATTCAGCATTCTGACTGTTGATTTTATAAGGCAGATAATATGTGCAAATCCTGAAGGCTTGTGACAGTGTATGCTGGCAACCACATAGCCAAAAAGCTACTTTGGAGGCCACAAGTATGGCTTCTTCAGGAAGCTTCCTTGGAAGTCCAGCATCCAGCACACAGAGTTGTTTAAGACAATCTGCTGCGCTTGCCAGCTGAAGTATGGAAAACAGAATGTGGAAAAAATTCCACAAAGCCCTTTCTTCCTGCTTCTTTCTTCCATCAGCTTCCTGTTCAAACTACTTGTATATTTCTGTTTGTGTGGAGAAGAAATTAACCATTTTTTTCCTTTTTAGTTTCAGGGAAAAACTGGAAAACTTTGGTTCCACTTTTAAGAGATGGAAGCAGGAGAGAGGAAACGCAAAAACTTCCAGAAGAAATCAAGCTAAAACCTATTTTGGAACCTTATTATGAGCCAGAGGATTGTGAGACGTTGAAGGAATCACTTCCAAAGTCAGTCTGATTTTCTTTTGTTTTTAAGAAGAAGGCCAATTGTTTGTGTTGGTTCTTACAAGGAGGACAATTAAAACACTTCCTTCAGAAGAAGAGGGATTTATGGAAAAAGACCAAAGAAGTTAGGAAATGACTGTGTGCAAGGATTCATTAAGTATCCTGAATAAACTACTCGTTGTTTAAACTCATGTCTTCATGGTTATTTTTAATACAAATCTGAAAGAAAGTAGGTACTTACTGCTTGGTTTTTATTTACTTGGCTAGATATTTGCATGTAGACTGACTTACAAAGTGTTAGACAATTCTTATAGTGTGGTGTGGGTTTGCTTTCTTTTGCTTTGCTTTACATTAAATACACTGAGAATTTCCTACGATTCAGAGCTGTCAGTAAGGTAGTGAGCTCTTTTTCGCTGCAGATTTTTTCCCATTCTTCACTTCTTTCACTCTTTGTAAGTGCTCTCATGCATTTTTGAGGTCTGAGCTGACATTCTCATCCTTAGCTTACAGGTCCTTCACTAAGTTTTGACGATTGGTGCAAGTGGCCAGTAAAGGTGAATATTCCATTGATAATATGAAAATAACAAAAAGGCCTATAGAGAAAAGGCTATCACTTGCCACCTATGTCTGCTTTTAGATTCTTTTAACAAGTGTTTGTCTGAGCAGTGACAGGCCCTGATTTCCTGACTTTCCAGCCTTGAAAACCCACTAGCTGTGTTAAAAATTACCAGGAGACCAAAGGTAGGTTGCTGTGAAGAATGTTTCTTGGAAAGGAGATAAATGGGGACACAGTGAAAGAACGGTAAGTAATGAATCATCTAAAGATGTGGTTAGCCTTTCTCATAACACAAGAACAAATACACTGTGAAATTGTAAAGGTTGGGTAGTCAAAATGAACGAAATGTTTCTCTTACAGAGTCTGAGTAAACTCCAGAATATACAGTTACTGTTACTGAGGCTGAAGGCTTAACGAGATCCCAAAATTGACATTTATTTAGATAACAGGTGAACTTTGCATAAAGTAAGACAGAGTGTCTATATAGACTGTATGTTTCAAAGGTCAGATGTATAATAATGAATAACAGTAATTATTTTGAAATCAAAGTTTTTTTTGTTCTTGACTTTAACAGCAATGAAAGGAAAATAGCTGGTCAGAAAGGAAGGATGAGAAAATCTGTGATAAAGATCTGACCCAGTGCTGGACCTGTGCAGCTGCGATGGGCAAGAAAAGGTAAATGACCTTCTTTCCTTTCTGTGTATCACTGAAGCACATATATATATCTAACAGCCTGTAATATGCAAATACAGTATGAATATACAAGTATCCTTAAGTCAACAAGTTTCAATTTGAGCTTGTGTGTTGTTTCTGTGGCTGTGTTCAAAGTGCATCTGTTCTGAAGTGATATGCTAGATAGATGAGTAGCAAATTATTGAGAACATTGGAATTCAGAGAGAAAATTGTGCCAGCCTTTGAAAGGTAATTTTCATCAATACATCTTAATTTTTTTTCTGCAGCAGTGCAAAATGGAGGCATTCACTGCTCTTAAAAAGAAACAATTGTATTTACTGACAGAGTTTTCTCTGCTGCTAACACTGCCAGATGAACTCTATGTTGTCTCTATTGTTCGTTCTTTTACTGAGGTCAGGACTTCTCTCAGTGCTGGTTTCCCATAGGCTACTGTAGATAGACTTCAGTGAAGTTTGCAAGCATCCAGCTTATTTGAAATAGTAGCACCATCTAGAGGGCTGTTAATTCTTGATCCTTCTGTTAATCAAATCACTCAGGACAAATGCTATTTTTTTTCATAGAGTTTTTCAGAATACAGCCACAGAAACTTGCCAAAGAATTTGAAATAATTATTTAACAAAAATCAAAATGTAAACAAGCTTTGAATCTCACGATTAGGGAGACTACAAAAGGTGTTCAAAGTAGGGATGTTGAATGTCATACTACTCTTAAGGTGTGTCTCTGAACTCCTGTTAGCAGTTTCTAGAGGTTCCAGTCAAGACTTCCTTATGCTCCTTACTGAATATAGTAAGAGACCGTCTGTATGTGAAACAAGTGCAGCTAAGTAAACAAGACAGGCTGAGGCAGTGAAACTCCAGCCATTAATAATAAATGTAGAAAGGGGCCAACCAGAAAAACAGAGGTCATTGTCTCCATGCCTTTATGTGCCAAAACAAATTTATACTTCAATGCACACAGGGAACGTAATGTAGCTGGAAAGCATTTATGAAGTTTCTGTATTCTCTGTGAGGGATCCATTTGTCATAATTATCTGCCTGTGTGGAGACCTACTCTTAGTGGTTAAATTCCACCTTGATTTATATCAAGTGCCTACCAGAAGGATTTATTCACTTTCGTGGGTAACCTAAACAGAAGGTTGGTTTGTGCCTTCCTGTCCTTTTCTGCTCCAGCAAGATTACAGGGAGTGCAGGGGACTTTTTAATAAAAAAGAAATTGAAATGCAGAGTGAAAACACACATCTATATAATGAAAATGTATATGTCATGTGTTTGAGGGATAGAGTGATGCTGGTGGTCTTTTGGTTGCTTTTTTTTTTTTTTTTTTTTTTTTTTAAACCCTTAGCCCTCTTTTGGAAGCAAAAAAGAAAATTTTCATTTTTCTCAAGTAAGTTATTACTAACCTATCAGAATTTCTAGCTATGTCACCACTTAGTTACTGCTGCAGGCAAGAGTTTGTTTCCCACAGCTGGGGCAATATAGCCTAGCAGGGTCTCTAACCTGGTGTCACATTTATTTAGAGTAAGCTAACCATGGCTCTGCCACAATTTTCTTCCTTCATCTTCATTCCATCTAAATGCACAGAAGTGCTTTGAAAATGAAGGTGCATCTCTGTTAAGGCAGACTGGATGGGATGCCTACAGGGGACACGCTGCTTCTGAAGAGACAAGGAGCACAAAGCCTTAGTGGAGGGCTGTGACTAACCCTCAGGAAAGAGAGGTGGCTCGTCAGGAAGTATTTGCTCTTTAAGAACAGCTTTGCTAGGACCAGACACTGCTGTTGGTGCTGCTAGACAATTCCACTGGCTGACAAGAAGCATGGCTTTACAATAAATTAGTCTTTATTTCTATTTTTGGGGTGGAGGTTCAGCTCTATGCTGGCTCAAAAACAAAGGAAATGGAGTTGATGTGCTCACCTCATCTGTCTGTGAGTGACTGTAATTAGCAGTAAGTGTAAATAATGAGTGTAAATGTGCATATGATGGGAGACAGCAAGAAGTGAGTTCATCTAAGGTGAGTTGGGCTTCACTTTACTGGGAATTGAAAATGGGCTGATTAACATGTGTAAAAGCCAAATGTTGATCTGAGTATGCTACAGCACTGCCATACCTGAGATGCAACTTATGCTTAGTCAGTCCCATAAGCTGCTGCATCTTTCAAACTCCAATGATTTCTGAATTATTTGAGGAAAGTATATAAATTACCTGAAAAATGTGGAGCCACATAACCTGTATTATGTACTTATTGTGCCCTCTGCAGCAGCTGGCATTGTAGCCCGCATCCCACTTGTCCTAATTAAACACCAACGTTAATCCCTTCTCAGGCAGCGCATTGTCGGTTTTTGGTGGGCTCCATGGGAGCCTGCACAGCCCACCAGAGGGCCCCCACGCTGTGTGCAGTGATCCTACCCAGTCCCATAGCTGACTTGCCCCAGGAAAACCCTTCTTCCTCTGACACCTCTGTCCTACTCTACTGCCCCCAATCACATTCATCATGCAGGATTGCATTTCTCTTTGCCAAAAGCCAGGTAATGCCACTGTCCTTCTGTGGCAAACATCTGTGAGAATGAAGGTACTTATGAGTCTTTCTTGCTCCACTAGGCAATAGGCAAAGATGTACTAAGGCCTGGAAGGAATATGTCTTAATCAATGCTGCCATATACAGCGTGAGCGCTCTGGGTCTTATGATGTGGTTACAGAGCTCTGAAGTGCTTCCCATCACCCACACCATGCAGACTGGGATTACTTCTGACTCTGGAATAGTTTCCACGGAGAAAATATGGACCCAATTTCATCAGATATTAAGCTGTACAAAAAGCTTCAGGATAGATGGTGGAGAGTACACTATTTTTTTGGGAAGGAAGGGAAATCAACCAAATGATCTCATGAGACTTCTGCCTTTCTGGTGTGTTTGTGATACTGTGGCAGAGCTACATCACTATTAGTAATGCTTCCTGTTTCAATATGCTGGCAATGAGAGGGTATGAAGAGACATGAATATTTACAAAATCACTGAGGTTTTCAGAGTCCATCATCAACCAAAATTGTACTTGTCTGTCATTGTTTTAATCAGCCTTCCTGAACGGTTTAGTCACCTGAATGTTGACATGAAAGGTCATGTCACCTGGAATTGCCATGTCAGCCCACTGTGGAGCAGCCCAGGAGAGCAACTCCCAGTGACAGGAACTGGGAAGAAGTGTGTCCTACTCACTCAGCCAGTAAGAGCAGTTCTAAGCAATGTCATCAAGTGGAAGTCATTTCTCTCCAAGGTGGTATAGTAGGTGTAGCTCAGAGACAATTCCTCTTATTCCAAAGGAGAGTGGATAATGAACCACCCAGGGAAAAGGGATTGTGTCCTCAGTTTTTGAAAGTCAGGAACGTTTAATTGACGTAGAGAAAGACACAGGAAAGCCAATGTCCCTCATTAGCAGCAAGATTCAGAATAGTGAAATTTAGGGCTGGAAATGGATAGAGGGTTCTCAAGAGACTGATTTGCAATGACAAATGGAACATCTCTATCTTAGCTAGGGTCTGTATGACAGAAAATGGAAGCACTGACAAAGGGGACAAAATCTGCATAATAAAAGATATTTTAATGAGAATAGTGGTTGAAATTGAGACAGGAAAATGTATCCTGGAAAGATGATCTATCCATGGGGCACGTGTGACGTGTATCTGCTTAGAGAATTCCCTTTGGAAACACTAGAAGATTCAAGATTCAGTTCGTGTACAAATACATGCTGTGCCATCCTGACTGCAGCAACATGGCACATGCATGTTTTAGCTCTCTTATTTTTGAAGTTTATTTCAATTGTTCAATGTTCTCCTTGAATTCTTCTTCACTTATTTCCCAGGAACAGCTTGACAGTAAGTGAAAGGGGCCTGCAGGGACTTTGTTTTGTTGCAGTCAGTGAGCACCTGATAGAAGTGCTACAGGTGAGGTGAGGTTTAGCTCTCAGTGGAAGACCTGAGAGTGGGTGAATTTTTGTTCCCCTTCGTATCATCTTTATACAGCTTTAACTAGATCTTTGGAGGGGGAAAGAACTGTTCCCCAGACTTAGACGAGTGAAACCAATTAAAATACTCTCTTTTAAATGAGGAGTTTTGATGCTCCTTTGACTGAAGCATCAAACGGCCAAACAACAGTTCAGCCTAAAATTATTATAACATTTCTGTTCCTCGTCAGCTTTGGTGGTGAGCCCCTAAAGGCTACTTGAGTCAAGCAGCAGCAGAACAGACTGGAGTAAAAAAACTGTAGCATATAGGTGGGGCGTGCTTTGTTCACAGTGTATTCCTTGAGGCATTTTCATATTGCTTAATTCCCCAGTGCTGTTTAGTGTTACCAGAAATCATGCACCACCACTAAGATTGACTGAGGGTACAAACTCATTCTGAAATAGCTGGAGATCAACCTTGACCTAATTGGGACTCTGAGGTTTGGAGCAGCCAAGTCAAGTTTTTGCTTTGAAAGTTCTCAGTGAAGTGTTACGTGTTGGTTCTGAGTTCTGTTTAGAGTAGCAGTGTGACCATGCTGTTGTGTCTTTCCTATTACTCGTTTCTGTCTCTTCATCTGGTTAAAAGTTAGCTGGAAAATCTATGGGAAAGTGATAGTATCTTCCCCTTTTTAGCATACACTACAGAAGTGCTCTTCATGTGGTTCTTCAGCATTAAATGCACATACATTCTCCTAAAAGCATAGTCTGTGGGATACCTTGTGGAGCCTTCCCACAACAGACCGGTAGTGCTGAATCCTTTTCCAAGAAACAAAGGGAATTCAGGTGCATTTTTTCCATAAAATCATGAGAGAACCCTTGTGAATCAATGAAATGCTGTGCTCGGGGGAACTGGGCTGCTGCTGGTAGTTGCTGTGCACAGCACTGTAATACTTAAACTTCTGAGGGCATCGGGGAATGGAATACTGACAATAAGCAATCTACAGTTACCCGTGCTGTTGCCTCTTAATGTTAAGAATGTTTTTTAGAGAATGGCTTTTCCTCCCAGTGATTACCAGGTGGAGTACTGCGATTCACAGAATTAAATGTGAAATCAAAACAATTTCTTAATGCAGGTTTGACTCAGATCACGTCACATGTCAGCAGAACAGAAAATGCAGTTTGCTGATGTCAGATGGCGAATCTCCAAATCCCCAATCCCTCCCATCTGGGGCTTCCTTCATCTTGTTCAGTTTAGTTTCTAGAGTCTAGCAGTTGCTAGAAAAACAAGATAATGAATGCCAGATAGGGCATCTGCTGCTTGTTGGTGCTGTGCACGCCTTCCAAAGCTAATGTTTTCAAGTCATTTTTCATAGGAGATGCATGTCTGGTTTTTAATGGAGTTTCTTTATGGAGTTTCTTTAAGTAAGTGAGACAGCTGGTAGCTGATGTGAAACTCTGTAAAGTGGTCTGCACAGCCATGATGCAAAATCCTCCATGGCTTGTAGGAAATCTGAGTGGAACAGGTCTGGGAACTTAAAGGCTGAGTGCATTAATGATGAAAACTATAAGAAAATGGTTGCACAGATGTGACTTGCTGTAGTTCTGCTTCTTATTTCCTGACTCTTGGGTCTGCCCTTAGAGCAGCTCTGTTCAGGCTCACAACACCCATGTGCAGCACGTGGTGTTTTTACCCATTTTCAGGAAGACTAGCCAGGAATAATCTGTCCACATGTCTTCTAAATCTAAATCTTCTAAAACAATTGCACAGAAAAGGCCACACTGGCAACTTAATGACCTCATAATGGAGGGAGATGCTGTTAACACATATCAGGCAAGATGAAGTGTAATTCTTGGGCATGTGAATTGTTAGAGCTCTCACAATCTTCTCTTTTTTCATAGTCAGATTTGATACAAGGCTGTGGCTCTTGCTTGTCCCTGTTTTTCTTTTTGGCTAACTGCCACAACATTGTAAATAGACCACACTGATAGGTCCTGTGTGCTGCTAAGCACACAGATCTGGGTACTTTCAGATACAGCTGCTTTCTAAGTTCAAAGCTTGCTGCTGAACTTATTCTGCCTTCTTTGCAAAGGAATTTAATTGCTTTTCTACAGTGGTTTTTAGGAGAGTTAAAGCAAGAGTCCTTAAATGCACCTTCACCCAGATTTAATCTAACTTTGCCTATTTTCACATGCAATACTCCAGCCTCAGAGTGACTGCAATTAAACAGTTTCTTGTAGTTAGTGTGGAGAACAAAGCCAGTGTTCTTCCAGGCAAGATTAAATGCCATTATTCAGTTCTTGTGTGGTTAGACCAGCAGCTAGGAGACCATCAAAGCCACTGACTCTAGACTGCAGCATATTAGCTTAGGCAGTCATTTGACAAGGCGTGAACAGCTTTGCCCAGTGCAGGGTTTGGAATATATCATCATCGGGTTGGAATATATCATCATCAGTTTGTGTCAGGCAGAGCTGGATGTGTGCTTGGCTCATCCAACCACGCTCTCCTAATGCCAAATGGAACTGGTGTAGGCATGAACCTTTTCTCTGTGCTGTTCTGTGGAAGCTGATTCATTACCAGAAACAACGTAACATTCCTGGTATTTCACACCAAAGGGCTGACCTTGGTGTGATGTAAAGATAAAACCCAGCAGTCCTGTTCTTTAAAGAGATCTGCTTGAACAAGTGGAGTTCACTTACAGTTTGCAGATGTATTTTAGAGTCATTCTGTTCAGGTTCGATTGCCTGTTCTAAATCTGAACATCCTGAAGGTATTTTATGTTTTCATTTCCAGCTTCCTCAAACATTACTCTTTCTTCCCTTTTTTACAGTGGAGAAATATTTTTGTTTTTCCAACCTGCATTATTCCCCTTAAATCCCATTTATTAATCAAGCGAAGGAAAGGCGAGTTCTGAGTTTGTCTTTTAGGTTTCATTGCAAGGACATGCAGGTTTTAAGTGCACCTTTAACACTGGTAACTGAAAGACTCTGTAGGGAGAGCAGAACTAATGGTTCCTTTTCTGGCACGTCCCAAAGAAGAAGTGTGCAGCAACCATTGCTTAACAGCTCAAAACCAGCAGAGCTGGAAAACACCATTCCCTGTAGTGAGAATTCTCCATAGTGAGAAGTCACATCAGTGCTGTTTCTGTGAAACACAGGCGTGTTGTATCCTCACAGACCCTGAGGGTACACATTCATCAGAAAACGTGCAGATAGGGAAAGATCTAAACACACCCACCATGTTTTCACTGACATTATTGCTATGAAAGCAGATTTTCTGAACCCATTTCTATTTTTTTTCATAGTAATAGCAAAAATATTTGCTTTCTGGAGCACTTATCACGATTGCTTTCTCGTTTTTGCTTTGTGCTCTCTCAATAGTTCCATAATATATAATAAACTAAGCACGACATAAAGGGATGTCATTTACAACCTAAATGTGTGTGCATAACCATTTTCTTTTGAATACAGAATGTAAACTGCAGAGTGCTGTGATCATTTTAGATATTCTACTGCTACCATTAAGTCATCCGTGAGCGACTCAGCTTTAGTAATAATTTAGTATATAATTATTGCGTGTGTGTCATCCCACTTTGGCAGCTGTGAAGTAAAGAGTTTGTTGTCTAGCAAGTTTCTCTCTGCTTCCTAATTTCAGATGTAAGAAACCCTGTAAGGCTTCAGCGCTCCAGTGCCGTACTTATCTGTGCTTTCCAACAGCCAAGCAAACCTGATGACTGAAGAAGGGGGTTTGTGCATTTTTAGAATCATTTTGACCCTGAATATAGTTTTACTCATTTGGAAGATTCCTTCTGCTGGATGTTGTCGAAACATCAGTGGGCCCCAAATCTGAGCTTCATTCGTACAACTCGGAGGCGCCTTCTCTACTCTGCCATGCAGGTTTTGTAAACAGGGTAAGTTCTGTAAGAGCTCTGTGGGTGTTTGGAGTAGGTGTGATGCTTTTCCAGAGAATGAAATCTTCTAAACTATCCTCACTAAGCCTGGCTTTCAACTGGAGAATGCTGTTGTGGTTGTTGCCATTTTTCTAATTTATTAATCTGTCTTTCTCCCAAGGTGTGCCACACTGACTTAGAGGCATTCTGAAATTAAGATACAGCTTATTTCATTTATATTTCTCTGCTTAATGCACTGTGACACTTTCTGATTTCTGTGCTGAGGCGATCCAAAATATACTGGCATACAGGCTGAAGTTAAAAATATTTTTACCTTCTACTGAGAGATTCACTCGCTGCAGTAACTGTCAGAGGCAGAATAGCTGGCATGGTAGAGTAGCCTTTATTCCAGCTCTCTAAAACATTCTCTTTTTATTCAGTTTGGAGATAAGCAGGAGAATAATTTTAAAGCATTTTCCTCACTGAAAGACATTGCTTTTCACAGAGACTTTTAATATTTTGGGTAGGAAAAACTTTCGTAGTAAAATAATATAGCTTCTCCCCAAGAAAAAAATGACATTTTCATAGTGTCTGATGTCCACTGCAGCCCGTCAAAAGATTGAAAATCTTACAGGAAGAGTAAACTCTTCCTATCAAGTGTGACTTTCTGCTGATTGGATATATGTGCCATAAATAATGCACAAAAGTAAAATGGAATTTTTATCATCTTTCCTCTGGGGGAAAGGATTGTTTTATGAGTTGGTAAGAATCAGCTGTGGGTGTTCAAAGGATCCCGTGAATGAAACATCTCTCGGTGGTCACCACCTCTGCTCTGCCCCTAAGGGAGAAGAGAAGACCTTTGTCCCATGACAGTCCCCCACATAAATGTTTATGGTGTCACTGATCTGCTGAGGTATGAGTATGTATGATTTTTCTCAGATAAGTGAAAGGTGGGTCTGTGATATTGTGTGAAATGCTTCACTCTGTAAAAGCAGTGAAGTCCCATTCACCATTACAGACAAACTTTACAGACAAACATTACAGACACTTCTCTCTTCTCCCTGTCACACTGGAGGTGAGATACTACATCCACAGTGTCTTCAGAATCTCCTCCAAAGTAATTCTTAATACTATAAATCAACACAGTATTTTTGTCTCACGGCCCACTTCAAATAAGGGACCTCTCTGATGGCAGGTAAGTAACAATTAAATAGATAATGAGACTCAAAAATAGTTACAACTAAAGATGACACTCCATATCGGGTTACATAGACTGCAATAATTATGATTTTGCATTCTCCAGACTGTTCCAATATTTTTCTCTGTATGTCATAGATTACATAAAATGATAGTGCACGGGAAGGTGATGATGAAAGCAGTTAGTCATTAAACTAACAAGACAGAGGGAGGAAGAAGCTGATAAGCCTAAAAAAGCTCCATTCATTGTCATGACATTTGTATGAATGTACCTAAAATAAGAACTGAGTTCAGTAAGTGATACAGTCAAAAGCCTGGGCTTAATTTTCATCTGGGCTTGCAATTAATAGTGATTAAAAATGAGGAGCAGGCACTACTTCAGCACTGCAGGAGGTTACTGTTATGCCTGCAGTTTTTTACTTGTGCAGACTCTGACATCTTGTCTGAAATAGTCTCCATCAGATCTTAGATGTGGCTTTGAAAGCAGTATATTAAATGACAAAAATATACAGAAGTGAACCGTTCCTCTTTTTCCTCTTCAAACTCTTCCCTTAAATCACTGGTGGTTCAATAGTGTTCCATCACAGACTGAAAGTTCAGTGTTATCTTTGATTACTTTCACCTCTCTTAAGTGTTTCCTGCTCTCAAGACAGTGCTAAAATGTCTGCAGTGACAATTGCCTGCAGGTGGGGCTTTTGACATACTCCCCCTGTGGATGTCCCATGCAGAAATGTGCAACAGCTCCAGCATTGCTCACAAATTAAAAGCTCTTCCCTGCGTCCATTGTGTGCTTTACAGATTTTAACCTTAGCCTTTGCTTTTTCCGGCTCTGTGACCACTCTGTGACCCTCTAACTTTCACACATGTACCAACTGTGTTTCTCTCAAATCAAAACTCCTTTTGCTGACATATTTTTTGACCTATTGGTCTGTTTCCAACAACTCCCTTCCTCTAAAATCACTTACTTTGTAAAGCTGTTTGATGCCCATCTCCATCTCATTCTAGTCCCCTTGGATGTGATTTATGTCAAGTATCACATCGCCCAACACATTCAAGTGAAGGCTGTGATATGCCTGCCCTCTTTTTCATCCCTGTTGTCAGGTCTTTTCAGACATGCTTCACAATCTGCCTTCTATATGTTGAGACAGAGTAGAAAATCTGTATGTACTTTTGTCACATTAAGAAAAGTGGATGTAGGAGGGGAAAAAAGTGCAGTACATGTTGTTCAGATCTGTTTAGTTTGTCCTTGGGTATGGAGGGACTTCCCCAGTCTGCTTGGGAATGGATCCATGACCTTGTAAAACTTACTATTTCTACATTCAAGTGATTTTACATTAATTGTGGATCCTAATTTAGGTGGATCCTAAATCCACCTTCTTGCTTTCAGGTTGTTGTTGTCATTTAAAATCATGCCTGCGAGTATTATGTTGAGAAATTGGAAGATTATTATTATTACTGACAGAATTTGTGTTGTGAGGGTTTTTAGGCAGATAACATGCATTAACATCTTTTTGTGTGGCACAATGTTGGTGATTCCCATACAGCAGAGCCATGGCTTATTCTTTTTTTTCCTTCTGAAATGCTGACAAATGTCACCAGCACACAAAGGTCCTTGATGTCACCCCTGTGATCATTTGTTTAGCTGAGATCAGGCTGGACACTGTTCAGAGCTACTGTTCTTGTGATTGATGAGCTCACTTCGGTTTAACTTAGGCACATACCTGAAGTTACAGTTCTGCTGGATTTATGGTATCACTCTTAATGACCTTTTCTTAGAATTTAAACAATCTTGAGCACAACCCTCCTGCCTTGACACATAAAATCACGTGTGTGCCTAATAACTGAAAATTGAAAAACTTTGATAAGAAGATCAAGAGTCGTATGATTACTTGTGAATAAATTGTAAGTGGGTAATTTGGTCCCCATACTTTCTTGAAGTGTTAAGTAACCACGATTCTACTTACTGCAGAAACATGATTAAAGATAACAAAGAAGCTGTTCCACTAATGGGCAAGAAAACAAATCCACCTGGTGCACCCCCTTCAAATCAGCAAGAGAAGAAACCAACTGAGGGCACTCCCACAAAGAAAAGGTAGGACGTTGTATCTCCCTTTTAACCTCTTCCAGTAGATATTTGGAATGCAGTATCACTAATATCTTTATTCATGCTGCATATATGAATGAGATAGACCAGATAAAAGAAGATGCTTTCAAAAAATGAAGGGCTTATGCTGTTTGTAGGTGGAAGAGTATTCTGTTTAGAGAGACATATGTGTTCACCCTAATAGGAAAAACACTCTATCCTAGAGACATCAGATGTGAGCACTGGTCTGTTAAAGCTGGTCTGCATCCACTTTATATACCTTTATGAGCTTACAAGAATTTGGTCTGATGATGATCAGCATTTCAGCTGGAGAAGGTAAAGTGGTCTTTTTAAAGCCATGATGCGGCAGGACGCACCAGGCTTTGTAGGAAAGATGCTGGCCTGGAAAAAAGGAACATTGCAAACAGCATCAGAAGGAAATATAGCAGACTGTGGGGAGGCAGAGGTGGAATTAAAGAATGAGAGCTGGTAGGGCAGGAGGTTTGGGATATCCTTATTACAAACAGAAATCCACGTTCATTAAATTTTTCATGATTCTGATTAATGAGATTTCTTACCTATTTTATTTTATAAAATAAAATATTCCCTTTCATTCATATTTTATGCTAAGGAATTAATACAAAGATTGAGGGCTTTAATTTAATGTGAATACTGTAATAAAAGCAGTAATTCATCCCTGATACTGTGTGTTATTGAAATCACTTACGTTACTGTAGACCGAGGATGAATTTAATTCATAAACTTTTCACTCTGGCTAATTACTAGCTATTATGGCAACATGTGAAGGCCCAGGCAATTGTGGCTGTTCTAACATTTATGATTTCTTAATAATCCAAGGAATCACTTTCTACAGAAATGCTGTCACAAGGTATTTGAAACCCATTGCCTGGTTGGCCCAATTTCTCCTTCCAATATTAAATGCAAAAAGAGAAACTCTGTGTTCAAATCATCACACTTTGCTTGTAGAAGGGCTCGATGGGGTATATGAAGAACTCAGCCAGTACTCCAAAAAGGGGCAATTCCATGGAAGATTTTATAGTTAAAACAAATACTGACAAGTACTACACTTAATTACTTAATCTCCTGTCTCCTATTCTGTTTTGTGGTATCAGTAACAGTAACCCTGGGGGTTTGCCATCTCTCAACCAAGAGCTCAGGGTGTGGCCAACAACATTCCTGTAATATAAGGAGCGAAGATCACATGAATTTTAATGCAGTGGTTTAACGTGTTCTATTAATTACATGTTTCTAAGCTGCTGTACTTCTATAGGTTCAGAACGTTTCCTTCTGGCATATGGTGCCACTGAGCACCTGGTGCACCTCCATGGGTAGCATTTCTCACGTTGACAAATGTATTGGCAATATGTACTTGAAGACAACGCGACTTCCCATTCCTGAAGGCCCCGGTGTCTGAGCGTGCTAACAGTACGTGTACAGGAAAACCAAGGGACAGGATGGGAGGAGCACTGCCAGCGTTGTCAGAACCTGATTATGTTTGTGGGCAGTGCTGCTGACAGCGTGCACCGTGGCCACGTAAGCACCTGGGTATTTCTGGCAGTTGTCCCCTTGCTTTGCATGGTGGATTTTGGTTTTTTTCCCCCTGGTATCCCCAGAAAACCCACACGTTGGTATAGGCTAAGTGTGTTGGCTTCCAAAACAGGCACCACTTCATAGCTGCTGTACTGCTATCGCATGCCAGAATCTTCCACATGAATGCAGTGCTGTCAGAGATATCAACCCGTGGCACGCCGCTCCTGGTGTGAGCAGCTGAGGCAGTCCAGCTAAGCCTGAAGAGCAGCACTTCTGGCTTTCTGGAAATGCACTGTAGCCTCTGACAGCTTTTACCTGTTGGGACAGATCCTGCACATCATAGTCGGGGAACGCACAAAGCAGCATGAATCCTTGGCATTTTCACTCCATAGCCTTTCTGCCAAGTTAAGATCCAAGTTAAGTGAAACAACGGTGAATTACAGCAGCTGTGAGTGTGGCGTGTGTGGTAGAAATGATAGCAGTGGTCCTCCTTCTGTCCAGGCTTTTCCTGTACTCTGACAAGTGCCCCATGCCGAGGTAATTTCAGGGATGCTCTGCTGACACGTCTCAAATGTTAAAAGGTCATGAAGTTTGAACAGTTATACACAGTGAAATTAACACTTGGATCGCTCTTCATCACTGCTGATGAGTTTGGAATGATAGCTACTGGCTGGAGAAAGAGGGACTAAATGTAGTAGATGAAGAAGCACATGTATGTGTGAGTGCTTATGCATATGTGTCTGGCTGTTTGTAAGTGTCTGGTGGTGCTGTGTTCAGCTGTGGGCACAGAAGTCCGATGTGAGGCTCCTTTTAGGTGCTGGTGTTGATGTTCAGACATGTCAGGATCTGATGTTGTGCCTTCTAAAAATATCTTGGGATCTTTTGCCCACCTGCCAACATGGAAGTGCTTAACTGATGGTAGAGGCTGGGATACTTCCAGGGAAAAGTAGACACCATCCTATTAGACAGGTATGATGCCAGAAAATATTTATTGTCAGTGTTGTTCCAGGTACTTACATGTAGTGAATTCTGTATCTTGTGGTTGAATTTAATTTTTTTGCTAATAACTTTTCAATGCAATATGTTCAACAGTTCACATTTTTTTCTGGAGATTGAAGGTTTTGAAGGCAATGCAACTCCAAATAATACATCTCCCCCCGTGTTTTCAAAACCAATGGATTCGAATATTCGCCCATGGTAAGTTATCAGTGCATATACAAGAGTCATACTGCAAGTATATCTATTTCATTTTCAGCAGCTACTCCTTCTTCCTCCTTAGAGCTAAAGTTTCACACAGTTTTACATAGATTTTGATCACTTTAAAGACAGAACTCTGTTGGAGGTCAATTGTTGCTGGATTATTTATCTGTATGTACTGCTGTCATTTGCACTGAATACACTGAACAAATTTTAAATCAATTCTATCTTTTCCTTTCTAAGCAGATGCTATTTGTGACAGATGAGGACAAACTCCATGCACCCAATTTTCTGATGTGAAAACAACAGCTTAATTTAGCAATATTCCCAGCTCTGTTTTTCATTAACAACAAACCAACATGAAAATGTTGAGTCTGAGATATTTAAAGCAGTTATTTATGCTGAATGAGTAGAGAAAAATTATGAGTGGGTAGAATGCACCAGATATTTAAAAACTGGAATGGTACTGAAAGCCAGAATTATGAATTAGGGAAATATGAATCAAATCTGGAATAAGCTCAGAATTACTAAATGTCTTTGTGTCTAATAGGTGACTGGTCAGCTTTCTGGAATTGTTGACAGTTGTATTGTTGTATCAGAGGAAAGGTACCCAGATTTTTCCTTCTCATTCAGGAACAAACCTGCACGAGACACGCATGCACTTTGTCCCTGGATTTTCTGCAGAGAAGTGATGGACTGAATAAGAATGTACTCTGAGCTTCTAGCTTTGTTTCAAATAAATATCTGCAGAGCAGTGTTGAATCCTTGCATTCTGTCCATACATCCACCTTATCAATAACTAATAGTCCAGGCTCCCTAAGTTATTAACCTGTGAGAGTTCATCATATCCAAATCCCATAGAAAACAAAAATACAAGTGAGAAAAATGACTGTCAATCAACTCTTATGTCAGATTTGTTTTTAGAAATGTCTAGAAATGGCATACAGAAATTACAAAATACCAATGCCACTGAAGTCCTTTAAATTTATTACCTAAATATGCATAGAGGGCCCAGGCTTTACTTTCTTTTAGCTGAAATTTCCATTCCAGTCAGCTGCAAGATGTTCTTGAGTTGCCTACAGTGTACTGTGTAGTAAATCTTTCAATCACATTCACTGTGTGCAATACATGCAAGATTACTGCTTTAACACTTGTTTTGTGGCAGATGACAAATTAAGTATGTGAGAAGGCAGACTGTACGTTTCATGGTGCAACACTGAAGATGTTGCACAAACAGTGTTAAACAAACACCGAAGAAAAAACTCCCACAGGTTCAAGATCTCAAATGAAATAATGTAGAAAAACACAAAACAGGCTGCTTTCCTCTGCATTTTTTAAATGTAATAAAATCCTGTGGATCTCTTCCTTTTTGTCACTCCTTTGGAAACAGACAATCCTAGCACTGACTGGTTCTTCATGCACTTTGCCAAAATGTCTTCCAATATCTTCCTGTCTTAGCAGTTGTGCTTTTCTCATTTCTGCAGTGCGTCTGCAAATGGGGAAGACATGGATTCCCCACAGTCTCTTCAGGATGATGTGACTGAATATAGCCCTAATGCAGACTGTTGTTGGTGAGTGGAGATGGGAAGTATTTCTTAAAGCATTTTCTACACATGAAAGCTATAATAGGGTAGGTGTTACCAATTGTGCCCAGAAATGAGGCGTGTATGCCTTTCTGAATACTCAATAATTAAACTCAGAAATAACTCTAAGTTTTGCTTTTCAATAGCATTTTCCTAGCAAATAAGTAATGTACAGAAACATATGGAGAGATCCATACTGGGACACCTGTATGGAAACGGGGCAAGTCACTGTAGTCTGGTGCAAGTAATTGTATTTCTTTTTCCTCGTATGTAGAAAATAAAGTAAACTGACTCAGCAATTCCATTATTATTTTTGATCATTCAGTGCTAACATAGCACAAGGACCTGAGCAGACAGGAGCCCGGAAGAAGCTGAAGAAATACCTGTTTCGGGCAGTATCTGAGGGGAATATTGAAGAATTGCAAGGTCTGCTCACAGAGCTGAAGGAGAGATCAAATGTTTGCACAAACATGACAGTGCCAGGTGAGCTGTGGACTTGTCTGAAGGAAGACTCTTACCTCTTGTGGCAGTGCATGTGTATTCTGCTAGGAAATACCTCAGTGCAGCAGCCAGTCATGTGTAAATCTGAAGTCATTTGTTTGCAATCAAATGGATGTCATTTCTTATTTCTAAATGAAAGCATATTCAATCAGCTGCTTTCTTGCTGCCTCTGATGCAACACTGGGGAGTATTTGTCTCTTATTTATGTTACCCTGGGGATCTAGTGCACTGTGTTCCCACAGCCATACCTGAGCTAGCTTGTGCAGTACAAGACTCAAAGCTGATGTCTCTGTCCTTGCTACAGTCAGTCTGGTTGTGGCATAGTTGCTGTCTGTGATGTGTGTAGCACGGTAGAGCAGGCAGAGAAGAAAAGAAGAGAATTAGGATTTGTCTGAAGTTACTGTGTTGGTGGGATAGCTGGAAAAGAAAGCAAGCAGACTGGCTGTCTTATTAACCACTACCACATCTCTGTGTCATCTCACAAAGTACACATAGCTCAAATATAGAGTGACTGGGTAACTGTTTACCAAACAATTTCTTTTCATATGTATTCCTCAGGCTCTGCTCCAAATAAAAGATTCAAGCTGTTTTCCATTAACTTAATGATGCCTGACGTGATCTAATCCCAAAATTTACTCTTTCAGATTATCTAATGAAAAAATTCACAGCTTCAGATACTGGGAAAACTTGTCTGATGAAAGCTCTACTGAACATAAACAACAACACAAACGAGATAGTGAACATACTACTATCCTTTGCAGAGGAAAATGGTATTTTGGAGAGGTTCATCAATGCAGCATACACAGAAGAGGCATATAAAGGTACTGCCATCTGGTCCCATTTTGAGGCACGTAGCTAAATATGCCATCAGTAATCGTAACACTGTAAGATTTCACACTAAATACCTGTGTCTGCTGTTTCAGGCCAGACAGCTCTAAATATTGCCATTGAAAGAAGACAATTTGAAATTACTCAGACTCTTATAGAAAAAGGAGCTGATGTCAATGCTCACGCCCAGGGTATTTTCTTTAATCCCAAACATAAACATGAAGGCTTTTATTTTGGTAAGTAGAAATGGGATTTCTGCAACTGTTAGGAAGGAATACCCAGACAAGTAAGACAGCATAGAAAGCAGGCAAGTGTGGATCATTGCTGTCACTGAACCTAGACTAAGAAAGTTGTATCACAGGACAGAAAAATGGCACAGTACCTCTTATAAAGAGATTTGCTAGAGTCCAATGTATTATTAACACTCAGATATATTTGTAAGACAGTTGTTAAATTCTGAATGGCAAATGAAGTGACACAAACTTGAATCTGAAGATTTTCTCCAAATGTTTTTGTGCAAATTCAGTTTTTCTAAACCAAGAGCTAAACTAAGAATAATCTATATTGATACATGCTTTTAAATATGAAGATATTTAATACAGTCATTCCTACAACAACAGTTTGATTGCTTGTAATAAGACATGAACACATGTTGCATGTTACAATTTTGCAGGTGAAACTGCACTGGCTTTAGCTGCATGTACCAATCAACCAGATATAATTGAGCTGTTAATGGACAACACCAGGACCAACATTGCTTCTCAGGATTCCAGAGGAAACAATATCCTCCATGCATTAGTTACTGTTGCAGAGGACTTTAAAACTCAGAACGACTTTGTAATCAGAATGTATGATACCATTTTGTTGAAAAGCAAAGACAGAAATTTGGAAAAAGTGAAGAACAAGGAAGGTTTGACACCACTACAATTAGCTGCAAAAACTGGGAAGTTAGAGGTGGGTATTATTTCAGTAGTATCTAAGAGAATTTAAGTATGGAGAAAGCATCAAGACCAACCATGTCCTCAGACGTTAGTGCTCTAGAATGTAGTTCTCCATGCTTGCTGTGCTGTACTGTAAACCACTATTATACCAGTATACCACTGTGCTAATAGGGTTCAAAATGTAAGCAATGCTTCTCCTACCCTCCAAGGTTTTCCTCTAAGAACCTCTCTCTGTGGAAAAAATATATATACTATTAAGAACAGCCTTTCAAACCTTTCTGTTGTACAGAAACTCAGAAATATTGCATTTATTACAAAACTACTCTTAGACAATACAAAATCTTCAAGTCATTTTAGAAGACTTTCCAGAACTGCTCTGTTATGCTGCTGTTGCATTTGTTCCTCATAGATCATCTGTGTGTATGTGGTAATGAGATGACAGTGTGATGATTTAGAGAGTAATTGATCAAGTTATAAATGTGAACACCTGGAAAATTGTGCTTTCATTCTTCAGAAAAATCTCTCTTTGACAGAAAGTCCAGAGACATTAAGAACACTGTATTTATTTATGAGAAGTTTGTGATCTCTAGCAGCACTTACTTAATGACAGAGTTATGAATGCATTAAATTACACTACTCTAACAGAGATGGGAACTGAAAGGTATTGGTTTTGACAAGTGTATTTGTATACTTTCTCAGTTCCCTGAAGAATGCACTTGGTAACCAATGATTCTGCTCATGTTTTAGGTTCTGAAATACATCCTCAGCAGAGAGATAAGAGATAAACCCAACAGAAGCCTGTCAAGGAAATTCACAGACTGGGCTTATGGTCCCGTCCAGTCTTCTCTTTATGATTTGACAGAACTCGATACCACTGCAGACAATTCAGTATTGGAAATTATTGTCTACAACACGAATATTGGTGTAAGTTGCCTATTCATAAAATGCACACGTTATCTCGGTTTTCTTACAAGTGGAAATTTCAAATCTTAGTAGATTGTTTTCTTCTTTCTACAGAATCGCCACGAAATGCTGACATTGGAGCCTCTTAATTCACTCCTGCGAATGAAATGGAAGAAATTTGCACGCCACATGCTTTTTATGTCATGTTGCTTTTATTTTCTGTACAACGTAACTCTGACATTAGTTTCCTACCACAGGCCTAATGAAAATGAAGTGAGTGCAGTCATTTAACTCTAACACGTTTTACTGCTTTAAAATGCAATAGTATTTTCTGGTTTGTTTTTAAAATGCTGGCAAATAAAAAACAAAAAGTGCCCCAACATGTATCAGAACATCAGCCTGTACTGAGACCAGGCTCTCGCACATCAAGATTTCATATCTAGAAGGAAGAGCTGTAGAAGTTACTTGCAAAAGCTGCATAACACAAAGACAGAAAGTTAAATTGGTTACCAGAGAGCTACATGCATGAGGCTTCCACTTCCTTTGCCTTTTACCCTTCAGATATGGAACTCAGTCTTTCATGTTGGCTTTGTCTTGCAGGCTCCACCTTATCCACTGGCTCTGACACGTGGTGTGGGATGGCTGCAGTTATCAGGACAGGTGATGGTTATGTTAGGAGCCATATTTTTAGCCATAAAAGAGGTGAGACTTTTAAATAATAAACAGATACAAAGAGAGATTTCTACAGAGGATTAACTTCAGGTGCATGATTTTGGAAGACTGATCTTGACCCCTGCTTTCTCTCACTTCCATTTCTGTGTTTTTTCTTTATCTCATGATGTAGAGTGTAGCCATCTTTCTGCTTAGGCCCTCAGACCTGCAGTCAATTCTTTCTGATGCGTGGTTCCACTTTGCATTGTAAGTCTGTCATGCATATATTTTATGCACTATGTATCTAATCCATGGTTGCAGGGAATGATTCCTTGAGCAGATACACAATTTTCTTTAGATTATCAGTTTTTAGAGAGATGGATGTAATCTTCCATGCACTTTTCCTTAGCACATGGGAATGCTTTCACTGGTCAATAATAATACTGGGAGTTGATGTGTACTGTTTTTCACAAAGTGCAGTACTGTCTTTTATCTCTTTGACGTGCTTCATCTCTTCATGCTGTGTATAGACAAATACATTTAAGAAACCTGGTTAATAAACTAAATCTAATTTTCAACTGTTCCTGGAAGAAAACACAGTGTACAGCTGGGGATTTCCTCTCCTTTCTAGAATAAGATCATACATCAATAAAAACAGGCAGCTTAACTCTACAGCTATTCTAATATCAGTCTTGTGCTGCCAGAGTCTGGTCTGCATCCTATGAGAATGCACTGCGTGTTCTCTGTGTTCTCCTTGCAGAGAGGCTCATGGAAACTCTACTGATTCCAAATATCTCTGTTAGCAAAATCATTGAACTGCTGTCCAGGGGAGAAGAGTTTATTCAAAGTAAGCTTCAGTAAGGATAGCCATTATATGTTAACATACCTAGATTTTAACTCACTTACTTTATTGTTAAATTATTTTTGGTTATGTTCATAGGGGAAAATGGAAAGCAGTATGAAAGTAGAGTTGAAGCCTAAGGAGCAGTTGTTGACATATTTTTCCATGATGCTATTGGTTTTGTGCTAGTAATTTCCCTTTTACATACGTGTGTTTTTTTTAACAGTTTTATACAAGCTATGCTTGTGATCTTCTCTGTCTTTTTGTACTTGTTTTCCTACAAAGAACACCTCGTGTGTCTTGTTTTGGCAATGGCCCTGGGATGGGCTAATATGCTCTATTTCACCAGAGGTTTCCAGTCCATGGGAATTTACAGTGTTATGATTCAAAAGGCAAGTATTTCATTTTATTTTTTTGCTCAAGTATAATATATAAAATCTACCCTATAACTTCAATAGCAGAAATTAGCTTATATCTTAAAGGTCGAGATTTTATTTTATCAAATATACGAGTCGTTTGTCGGCCTTTTTCATCTAAAAGAGTTCTATTTATTGCATCACATACTGTAACACCTGTGCTGTGCACTTACTGTCTCTCTTGAAGTACACAACTGATCAGGCTCTCATTCACAAGGTTAGAAAAAAAAACCTCAGACCTACGTTTCCTCTGGGCTTCCCATGGAGGCTGCGATCACTGCGCTTAATGAGAACGATGCGGTGCTGCAGTGTGCATCACACCTGTATCCCTGCAGATATATAAGCATAAAACTAGTTCTCAATTTTAATTCCTGATAAATATTCTATTTACTTTTTAGGTCATCCTGAACGATGTGATAAAATTTTTAGTTGTCTATATCGTGTTTTTGCTGGGATTTGGCGTAGGTAAATATCACTGGAGAAAAGCACTGATGCTCTGTGTGAGTAAAAATTTTGGCATTCTTATGACTAAGAACCCTGTTATCATGATGAGAGCTCACGTTGGGGTTTCTTCTGGAAATTAAAAAGCCCTGTTTAGAGATTTAAACTCTGCCTAGAGACTGTCTGAACAGATAAGTAATTTGGCTCTTGCTCAATTGCTTGCAATTTCATTTGGATGTGGGCTCTTTCTGCTTCCTCTTGGTTTCCTGTTGTCCAGCTGCTGCTGTGTACGTTGCTGGGTAGCTGTAGCTCTTTATTATGCAGTGCATCTTGAATTCTTTAGATTAAAATGCAACGTATACATGAAGCATTATTGTGATAAAAATTGTCTCGTGCTTTTTTCTCAGCTCTTGCTGCATTGATTGAAACTTGCCAAAATGGTGGCGAATGCCATTCCAACAGCAGTCTGGGACCTGTTCTGATGGATCTTTTTAAGCTCACCTTAGGTCTGGGTGATCTGGAGATCCAGCAAAATTCCAAGTATCCTGTGCTGTTTCTTCTGCTCCTCATAACTTACGTTGTGTTGACTTTTGTTCTTCTCTTGAACATGCTGATTGCATTAATGGGAGAAACAGTGGAAGATATTTCTAAAGAGAGTGAGCACATCTGGAAACTCCAGGTTTGTTTGTGGTTAGCTTGCTTAATGAAGTATAGAAGCATTGGTCAGGTCTTCTAAGCTGCAGCTTTTGTCACTTATCACACTGATAGAAGGGGACGGGTGTTAACAGTGAGAATCTCTATTTGCATGTATGTACAAATAATGAAAATCTGTAGGTTTAATGTAAGAGTATCCTAATAACTTCACAATTAACAGCTATCCTAAAGCCAATCTTACGTGTCAGATTTTCAACCTCATGGACTGTCCCTACGTACCTTTGTGACTTTAATTCTCCTGGATGTGTCACCAGGAAGGCGTGTTTCATAGTCTGACTGAGAAATCTGCAGCATGTTATTTACTTCTGTTTCTGTCTCTGTTGATGGTGGATGAAGGATATGCCATAACTCCGTGTATGCTACAAAGTCAGAAGATTCTCATTATGGTTAACCACTTTCCTGTTACTATTCCTTGTTCATAGAGAGCCAGAACCATTTTGGAATTTGAAAAATTCTTACCAAAATCTTTGAGGAAAAAATTCCAACTGGGAGAGCGGTGTAAAGTGGCTGAAAATGACACAAGGCTCTGCCTAAGGTAAACTCTGAATTTTGTGCTGTTCTGTTCTGTTCTTTGTGCCTCTTCAGGGTTATTTCTCCTCAAAAGACTCTTTAAAATATTTTGTGTATTTTGGCAGATTATTTCCTGCTTTTAACAGAAAAGGTTTTTTGTGTTAACAATTTTTAATAAGAAAACAGATTTTGAGATATAAGTACAAGCTCTTATTGCAGGGGATGTCATTTTTATCATAATCACCTCAAATGTTAGCTTAAAAGAAACTATGTTTAGAATTGACTGCTAATTGATGTGATTATCATATTGAAGATAATGTTATTGTGTTGTTTAATGAAAAATACTCTTATATGTCATGTGAGACTGTACTCATAATGTGTGAAACTGCAGAATGATCTGAGTGCTGTTCCCATCTGCATATGATACGTAATGCTGCTCAAGGCACTCACTGCAGTGCTTTTCAGTACTAGAAGGGCAGATGCTGATGGCAAACTGTGGCAATCCCAAGAAGTGAGAAAATAAAAGGGGAAGTGCAACTGTGTAGCTGGGAGATAAGGTACACTAATGACTCAATTTATGTGCAATGTAAACAGGATTAATGAAGTGAGATGGACTGAGTGGAAAACACACGTTTCGTTTATTAATGAAGATCCAGGGCCAGCAGGTACTGCTCAGCTTCACACCACCTTATTTATGGAACCCCTTTTCCTTAGAAATCCTTTGGTGTAATTTTCTGCCTTTAAGACTGTGAATGCCCATAACCTAGATATACAACTGCTCTACTTACTGCTAGGGAAACTCATGGCTAACGTGGTAGGGGTCTGAAACCATTTGGAGAGAGGTTTGGCCACAACTCTCATTATTTATTCCTCAGCACTGAAACATGGTGGGTGTAGCTGATTTATTTTTCTCTAAGCAGTTATTCTTGATCTAAATTTTACATTCTCTTATGGCACTTGATTGGCATAAGGCTGAATAACTTCTTAACAGACAGCATATTTTGTTCTGGAAAAGGTATTGCAAAGTACATTGATTTACTCCTTGAGTCGTTACATATGGCATTGCAAGGTGTGGCAACAAATCAGGCCGATTCTACCTAACAAAAGTGTAGCTTGCTGTATTTCAGCCCTACAACATTCCTGTTTGTTTGGGATGTGTGTTGGATGACAAATTGCCCCTCGTGAATGTTAACCAGGAAATTCAAGACAGCCATTTGCTGAGAGTATTGGAAGTGTCATAGAGATCTGAGTGAACTCAGAGGAGTCAGAGTTTACACGGGGCGTGTGAGGATCTGAGATGTGTTTTGAAGTTTGCTCTTTAGTCAATTAGTGTTTGTACTGTGGAGTAGAATTGTTTCGGCTATAAAGAAGAGAGGCAGTAAGAAAATGTTCAGTATCAGATATGGTAGCAAACTGACAACTTGCTGTTTAAATAAATGTGTGTTTTTTAACATAAAGCAGGTGTGCAAAAGCTCGATCTCACAAATACAGTTTCTACCATATCCTGTTTTGTTTATAATGCATTTTCTTGCAGATCCAAGCAAAGTTCAAGATAATTCAAGAACTAATAGCAAAAACACCTTGAATACGTTTGAAGAAATGGATGATTTGCCTGAAACTTCTCTTTAGTTGTTCTGTGTTTGACATGTAGATGTTTGGAAAGTTAAGAGCATCAGCGGCTGATGTTGGAAGGTTTTTTGTTGTTTTGGACAGCTGTAGCCAGCTGGAGCACAAACGTTCAGTGCTGTGGTCTGGTGACTGGAACCCATTTAATCAGGGCAGCTAAGCTACAGTAAAATGGATTATTGCTCTGGTTCAGTTTTAAGCTTGAAAACTGCTGCTGTCCAAGTTGGTGTGCCTGCTGAAATGTGACTCTAGACTGCTGGAAGAAGTGTCAAATGTGAGATGCTTCTTCCTTTTGTGGAAAATTAAGATCTGTGGGATCCTGATCTGCTGTCTGTTGTTTTGGAATCCGTAACTCCTGGGCAATATTTTGTATGCTGAAAAAACCTCTTGTGGTAGAGAAAAGAAAGGCATTTCAATAGGTCTGCAAAATGAAGTCTGTGGTTTTGAAATAGCGACGTTCTGAGAACATTTGCAACTTTTTGTTTTGCTTGTCAGTGTTATTGGGGGCTTATCCTGCAAGCTGCAGAAAGCCTCTGTGTCAAACTGCCTCTGTGGGTCTCCTGAGCTGTCTTCCTGTGTGTGATGCCTGCAGTGTAATGTGCACTTCACTGATTTTTATTCATTATTCATGCAAATGACTTCCCATAAAATGATGGGGCAGGAACATAATTCATGATGGAGAATATTTCTGAGGGTTTTTCTAAGTCAGTGTTTTTGTTTTTCCAATTGCTACGTGGCTTTTCCACACTTGTGCATCTTGTTGTGTAAGAACTACTGTGTTAGAATATTTCAGGTTTAATTAATTTCTACATTCAACTACTTCAGGAAAATTAGAAATCAGAATTTCTTCCCACAGAAAGAAAATAAGTGAAATACAGTGCAATGGCAGACTTTTAGTTTTATTTATTTATTTTTATTCGGAGGACTGTGTAATGCATTTCTGTAGCACTCCTTATTTCATTACTTGTGATGGCCTACTAACATAAATCTTGTTGTTGTTGTTTTCAATTTTATTTCTGTATGTATTACAAAATTTGCTCTGTGTACCTTCAGATTTCAATTAATGCATCTTCCTTGTCCTGGGTTTTCTTCGTGTGTGTGTTCCTCTGGTGCCTGTTTTAAAGGTGCTCCTTAGGAAACGCTCAGGTAACTTCAGTTCTGTGTTTGGATGATAATGTGAATTGCATTGAATTCTTACAGCTAAGCCTGAAGTGCGCAAACTGACCCCAAAGACTTTCTTAACACAGAAGAGAGCCTGAGTGAACTCTGCAGCAGAAAGGACAGTGCAAAGCAGTTTGCAGGGATGGTGAACACGGTTCTCTCTACCAACTCATCTTCTGCAGATGCCCTGTCCTGTGTTTGCTACCATGCATGGCCCGGATGGATGGGATCAAACTGAAATCTTCAGTTACTTTTCTCACAGTGCTTAGGAATTATAGAGGAAGGACGTTCATGAGTGTCAACAGTTTGACCTTCTTAGTAGGATGTGTGAGTATGAGAAGAAAAATTCCTTTCTTCCTGGAATCTTTCATCTCTGCTGGTTAAGTTTGCATTGGAACTCCCAACAAAGAACATTGCTGTAGGACTACACCATTCTGCTTGGACTCTTTAAGTGCCAGTTTTTGTACCAAAAAAATACCTCATCACATCTACTCAGGAACCAGGAAGAAAACTGGTCTGCACTGTATTCCACATTGCTACGGATGGACTTGTCACTGAAAACAGGTTCAGATGTCTCTGTACTGTACTGAGGTCGCTCTGTAGGCAAAGCCATAAACAGAGAAGGCACAAAAAATTGTAAGGAATGTTCCTTAACCACGTTCAGGTGCAAAGCTATGTGATAAAACGGAGGAAGGAGGCAGGGGTCATTTTATCTGAACGTCGTTCCGTGAGAAAATCCCCTGCTTCCTGCCACGGAGTCCTGCCAGAACACTCATCCAAGCATCTCTTATCTCAAGGCTGCTATCAAGAACACTATAAGGACTGCAGCAGATCAATCTTCAAATTTTTATTCAATATTTATCTGAATATAAAGAAATAAAACATGTAATTCAGTAAGCATCTCCTTCTGTCCTGTATCTTTATTGCTATAGAGTTACACAAAGGAAGCAGAAAAGATTTTGGCTTAGTACTCTTCAAAGTAGATATTTGTGGTGGGTTATGTGGACGATGAGTCTTTCAGCAAACAACGAATTACTGAGTGCTTTCTGAATTTAGTCACTGGATATGCACTTTTTTTTTCCCCAGAATGTGGCTTCAGTATCTTTCAGACTACTGGAAACTTCTTAAATTCAACCCTTTTTGTCTTTAAAAGACAAATCGGGAACAGTTTAATTAATCTTGTAATAATTTCAATTTAAACATAATTTATTTTAGTGTACTTCTTCCTTGGAAATCATGTTCTTAGATGATCCTTCTTAAGCACAAAACCACAACAAACCCTAAGGCGTCCACTTCTGGGCAGCAGGCATTGATAACATACACATCCCCTCTTTGTGTTTCCTTCTGGCTTCCTTTGTCTCACATTTTATATGGCTCAGCTGAACAATTAATTTCTGAATGGTTGATTACTGGATGTTTCTGCTTACCAAGTTAAAATGTTGTCATTTTTGTATCATTTAGCTGGGTGATAAAGTTTTACTTTCCATGTAATTCTGGATAGATGCTTTATTGCTACTCATCAGCATATGTGGTACGTTGTTTAATCCTTTTATACAGCACGAACTATCAAACTTCATAAAAATAATCTTTGTATCTATAGTGATCTATTAAAACAAGTAAACAGAAGCCATAATTAGCATTATGATGCTGTCTTATTACAATATATTTCACATTACAAGTTCTCAAAATGTTAATTAAATTACATTTTTAAATTAGATTCTGAATTTATTAAGCCTGCGAACCACTGCTGGATGATACTGGATTTCACAGACAGAAATCACTTCCTGTACGGAAAATCTGTCGCGAGCTTTTCGAGGCGTTCTGATCTACAGCTGAGATCTGATGAGTTCTGCAGTGAGCTCCACGGTAACTGTGTTTACAAAGGCTTGCTTCTTTTCATAATACGCAGCTTCATTAATAAATGTTGGATAGACTGTGCAGTCCCCTTTATATGCAATTACTTCTCCATCGAGAGTCAAAAATAGAGGATCACCATTGTTCAGTGGCTGCCAATCTTGATCCTTAGATAAAGAAAATAAATAAGCACATTTACTTTCATTTTTTCCTCAAAAACTTTCTAAAGGAGATTTCTAAATGTATGCTCAATAATTATTTTCCCTGTAGTTTATGGCAAAAGCTTTTAAAATCATTGCTTTTAATTTTCATTACATAATTTCAGGATTTTGGCACTCATTTTCAGGCTTGCGTAGAATTCACTGGTGAAGTTGAACTAAAAGGAAAATGCATATGCTCACAGTTAACTGAAATCAGACTTTCACATCAGAATTCAGAATTAGAAATGCATTTTAGAATATAAGCTATCCTGCTGTCTTCAGTTTTAGATTCAAACATGATTTCACGTTCAGTGATTCCCAAATCAGTTGCTGAAATACTGAATGACCTCAGTGATGGAGCTTCCTATGGGGAAGGTCTGAAGTATTTGGTAAACCCATTAGCAATAGTCTCATTATAAATATCTTATTCACTATATACTATAATGTAGCAGAAGCAACACAGGAGCACTTAAAAATGGTGTAGATGGCAGCTACTATAAGATTTACCTGCAGCTTAGGGTGAATAATAGCAATAATTTCATCATTTTTATTCCTGGGATAATCTACTTTCTCCATTATTTTATAAACCTCGATTGTACATGGTGGAAATTCTTTTCCTAGAAAGAATAAATGCAATTTAATGTCAGAATGAACAACTGCTTGTTAGAAAGCACAACGCATTCCTAATTCACTGTAGAATAGCTTAAATGATTAGGTTGTACACTGTCAACATTTACATGCTGGTGATTAGCTCATACACCATAAAAATGTGCAGATGCACATCTTTCTTTCCCTAGAATCCCAGCTGTAGAAAGGTGATCTTGTCATGTATTGCCTTTTGTTGCATTTGAAACCTGATCTCAATGAGATTGGTGGTGCTGGATATGGCTTTTCTCTGTATACTTAGGAAGATTTATTCTGCAGATGAGTAAGGCAGCAGCAGCTGTGTTTGCTACTGCTGTGCAACGTGGATGGTGCTGCTGCTGTTTAATCTTTACCATTCCAGCACAGATTCTGGCACACACAGCTCAATTCTTTTCCTTCTACATCCAAACAGAACTTACAGGCAAATGTAATCCTAAAGAATTTCCAGCACCTATTTTTGTCAATCTTTGATACCGCGCAGATAAAATCGATATCTTACAAAATTTCTTGACTGTAATTTGAAATAATGCACTGCAGCCATATAAGGCGTATTTTTAATTTGTGTGTGCAGTGTCCTCAGTGTACGTACTACCACAGAAACAGTGAGCTGCTGTTTCTGGTTCTCGAAGCAATTTGAAAATCAAGTGCCCTGATGGAGCTTTTGAGTAACGTCCTCAGAGCTGCCTACAGAAGCCATGGCAGGAATTGTTGTGACCTCCTCACGCCACAGCTGGGTGTTCTGGAGAGCTGCCCAGCCCTGCGTCCCCACAGTGCTACCAGGTTAGCAGCAGAGAGCTGCAGAACAACCTGCCTCTGGAAGAAACGCTCTCTCGAAACAACGCACTGACGTGAGGCAGGGAGCCTGCAGTACTTACTGTACCTTCGTTAAAAAGGTGAACAAAATCAAGGCCGTGTTTGACAATCTTCCTCATTTTGTCCAAAATATCAGCTCTAACAACACCTTGTGGCTGAGGCCCCACCTCCACACCTGTTCGTAGATGGAGGGAGATTATTAAGAGAGCTGTAATACATCACGCTTAGTTTGCACAGGACAAATCCATGTCTGACTGTGTCTGAGTGTTACCGTTCAGACAGATTTTAATCTGCAGTTCTGTTATTTGGAAGGCAAACAGAAATGTGGCTCATGAGTAAGGATCAGTTCAAAGAACCACATAACCATTTTTGAGCGTGCTACCAGGATGTGAGTCACTCTGTATGCTCTTTTCCCTTACTCCTTTTCTCATCTTTTCTTTCCACGATGTGTTTTAGAGAACTCATGAAAAGCAAATGTTTGGTTTTTTTTCTCCCTGCCTGTGATTATGGTTTTATTTCTACAAATGTAAACGTTGACAACTTTCATGCACAACGTCATTTTCTCCTTTCCTACATATTTTCTACTCCCCTTCCTGGCTAGCATCCAATGCTTTGTGTGCCAAGTGACAGATCAGTGCTCTCTAGATGAGAAAATCACAAACATCTGATTCTGGAAATGCATTGTCAAACAAACAGCAATTAGTGATCAGAGCACTCAGAAAAACGTAATGAAGTGATCTGCAAACAGACGTGTTTTTAGATAATTGCTGATAGATCAGAAATGCTGTTTATCTTTCATATTTACCAACAGGATGTTTTGCTACAGATCGGGTTGTTGCATATTTCAAGTTGGGATGTTCAATCAGCAGAACAGGAACGCGCTCTGGAGCCAAAGCATTCTGTGGAGATTGTTTTAAAATGGTTTTGTTATGCAAATACTTTAAAATGTTGCGCCACAAAAAGACTACTGATGCAGAAGTGATTTACACAATGTGTTCAATATGTTGCCTTTATTTCATGGTGCTCAAAGAAGTAGGACATCTTTAGAAAACGCACAAAGCTCTGTTTGTTGGTCTCCTTTCCATTAACTCTTGCCAGGCACGGTCCAATGAGCTTTGCTGTCTCCTAATATAAATGAACCCAGTTCTGTTCCTAAATTGCTAACAGGAAGAGGAAACTACTCAACGGTGCTCCAGAATTTATAATCTAAATCCTTTAAAGCAGATTTCTAGGCAGATCTTTTTTCTTGTTGTTGCTATGTTTAGATTATCTCGTGTGGACAGAGATTGGGAATTCAGCCTTTTCTTTTTCCGCCTCTTTTTTGTTTTCTTTCTTTTGACAGAGCATCCCATTGCAGATCTCTTTTCCAATTGCTCATTTTCTGCAAACCTCACTCTGCCATTATTTATCAGCTCCAGGAACAGCAGAGTCAAACAGGATTCAAAGACACTTTGCTGTTCCTATAAATAGTGATGAAGGGAACATTTGTCATTACTTAATTCCGTTACTTTTTCCATGTCCTTATTTCATAAAATTGATGTCTAACTATTTAGCATGCGTGACCCAAATTTATCCCAGTTCCTGGCAGATCAGTGTGGAAGCAGATTAAACTACATTTATTTTCACAGATGTTATTCTAAGCATTGTTCCCTGCCCATCAATCTTACTACAGTCATTTTGATACATGAAGACTATGATGAGTTGAGATCTGAATTACCTGATGTGATAATCAAATTATTAATTACCTCTGATTTTAAAAAAGCATCGGTGATTATATATTTGCAACAGTTTTGCTGAATAAAAAATAGAATATTTGAAGAAATGACACAATATATAGTCATACACTGCAAACAGTAATCTGTTTTAATAGTTCATTTAAAGTAGTTTTACCTTGATATAATGACACATTTGAATTGTAAAGTCATCCCTGGAGTTCTCAAGAATAAGGGTACCACCCATGTTAGCAGTGGTGTTGTGAAGGTCAAAAATAAGGTCATAGGCATCATCACTACCTTTTGGACCAAATATATGGTTGATTTCCTGAGCCCTTCTCACTTCATATGGAATATCTTCCACCACTGTCTGTCTGTTAATATTAGTACAAACAAATCAATCAACTCATTTCATGACTTTACATTCAACAAAATATCGACATCCTTTTCTTTCACTTTATTTCCATCACTGCCTCTTACATTACCTGGCTTAAAACGTGATGTTTGTGCTTGAGCAAACAAATGATTGTTAGTGGGAAGCAGTCTCACAGCTATGTATCTTGTGCAGAAAGGCATTACGTTTTTTTAACCTGATTTTTGCAGTAGGCTTTGTACTTCTCTTATTTATTTGCATTTACTTCTAGTACGTGCATCTCAGCATTTCCCTCAGCGCAGAAAACTAACTCAGCATTTATCAACAACTTCAGCCACCTCCAAGCCTGAGCTCAGCGGTATTCTGATACGGGTTCGTGCCCTTTTACCTTGGACCTCATTTACAAGCTCTTTCATAACACACGTTCTCATGTTCTGCTGAGATTTTCTTACAGTCTATTGATTCTCTTGAACCTTAGAGAAGATTTTGCCACCTCAAATGCCTTCCTCTGAAGTTTTAATGCTTCCAGTCTCAGGCACCAGACCAGCCTGTACTGGCATGTCAGAAATGGTCTGAGATCATTGGCTTCCTGTCCGTAGAGGGAACACGTAAGTAAGCCATGAAAGAATGGTCTTAACGCTTCTGCATTAAAGTCTGTCCACCTTACATATAATATCCAAGGACAAAACTGTTAGATGAAAAGCCAGGTGAGAAGGCATTCGGGGTAAGAATAACCGTGATTACAAAATAAATGTGACACCTACTTCTCTCAGTAATATTCACTTTTACAATTAAGGCTTTTCTCATACTTAATTACCCTCTCAGCTTGCAGCTGTACCAGTCTTTAAAAAACGTTTCACACAACAAAGTACACCTCCGGCATAGATGTCTCAAAAGCAGAGAAACAGAAAATCCCATTAAAAAGTAAGCTCAATTACCACTGTACAGCAATTATAGATTTCACTTCTGCTAAAATAAGGAGACAGATAAGTTATTGAATTTTGCCATTTTGCCATAGAATGCTTTATTTCTAGCTTATAATTTCAAGTGTTTGTCTTCTATCCTATATGACCATAATTAAATACACTTCCCACCTTGCTTGTCACCTTTTATATAATGAAGTCTACCTCTAAATTGCTTTGTGTTTTCATATTTCATAACTGTATTCAGAAGAGCTCCAAGACTGAATTGCACAAGAAGGCATGAGAAATAGTGACTTTGCAACTCCAAACAGCAGTTTAGGTTTACACAAGCACAGCTATCCTCATACAGATTTAAAATACTCAGTATAGGTGTTATGTGTTGGCTTGAGGCTCGTTCTACCAGCAAGTTTTAAAACGAAACAGCACACGCAATTTGTTCTTTTTGGGTAAAAGGTCAGTAATTTCAGTTATGTGACTGCCTGGATAACACAGAAGTGGAACCTGCATCAGTGTTTTAATCTGGAAAGGAAGTTCCTGGCAGTTTTAAAAAACAGAAAATTAAAACAACAGAAAGTACAACTATTCTTACCCAAGATTATCAGGGTCAAAAACACGGTTCAGATCACAGTCAATGTATCTAGTACACTTCTTCACAGCTCTTGGGTTGGTGAGAAATGGTTTCACTTCCATTCCTGCTCTTTGAATCTCAGCTCCATTCTCTTGCCAGTGCTTGACCAAAAATATCCCTGATAACTCATTGCCATGAGTTCCTCCAAAGATAGCAACCCTTCTCACTGGAGGTTTTGGAACAACACAACAGGAAGTCATGCTTTTCAGCAGCTTTAAGAATTGCTGAAAGCAAAAGAAAACAACAGTGAAGTAAAGCTCGTATCTCTGAAAAAGAAATATATATTTCTTTTAATAGGAAATTCTTTATGTCTGCTTAGGTCAGACAGGAATGAAAGAGAATTAACATTTCTCTAAGTTTCAGATTCCAGTTGCAAGGCGGGGCGTTGCTGGTCCGACTCTCCTCCCTCCCCAGGAGCCCTCCCTTCGTTTCCCATATTTAGTAATCCTCCCACTCTGTTTCTGTACTGTTACACAATTCAAAAATTAACTTCTCCAGGCGTTCTCTATTAATATATGAGAGACAGGTAAATACTCTGCTAATGAAAGTCTGAAAAAACTTGCAAACTCGCTGTGACAAGTCTGTTCGTGTGCACTTTAAGTCACAAAAACATTACCGTACGTATGAGCAGAATGATTTAAAGTGAGTGAAAACAGTAAAATGTGAATCCTATCTTTGTTCTAGATCAGAGATCAGCTGATAATGCCGAGACATGAAGTGCTGTCATCTAAAAAACACGAACAGCTGAGTTCCTCAAAGCACGCTGTCTTGTATGACCTTTGTTTCAGACTGTCAGAAAGGTGCTTGGAAGGAACGACAGCTGAAATTAAAGTGCAGCATGGCTACAATTTACCTAGCGTTCCTGGCTCTAGACGTGCCTTGGGATCTGCTAACACAGACCTCTGTGACATCGGAACAACTGAATGGGGACCCTTCTCATTTCTGCAGCCCCTTACGAAACAAGGGAAATCAAAGCAGATCACAGTGGGACAAAAGTTGTGTCCTTCCCTGAAAGAGACTTAGCTGAGGACTTCTGCCATTTCACGAAGCATTCCGATGGGTTTTCAGAATGGAAACTCAAGCTAAACAGCAGCCATAACTTCTGTTGTGAGGACTGAAATGTTTAGATTAAAAAAACAAACAGTTTGACTGACATTAATGACAGAATAGTTCCAAATTGGTGTCCAGCACACAGTATTAACATAAAAATGTTACACTGTAAGAGAATAAGGAACATTTATTGAACAATAAGAATATACCCCAGTGACGGTGTTTGGTGAGGGTCTGTGGAGGGCCTCACAACCAGTCTGATAGATCCCATGTGCATAAAAACAGCCAGACATAGGCTTCATCCACCAAAATTCTGCCAGGAACACTTTTCCTGCAAATGCTGCTCTCTACATTGCAACCTATGCCCAGGACTTGCTAAACCTCACAGTGAGTTAACAGGTGGAGTATTCACTTAAGTCAGCTGTGCTCCTGTTGTACTTTAGGCTGTCAGCTATTCAGTCACAGCAAGTAACGTCTTAAAGAAAGCAGCAGAGCTGCGTTGTACAGCAGCAGACAGTCTGCACCGTCCTCTGACCCCAGTCCTTCAGCAGCGGTGCCATGTGCAGAACGTTCAGAAGGAGCAGCCCGTGCTCCGCGTCGTGCTCTGTTGAATTCAAACACCGCAGCAGTTTGAAGAGTAAACTATCGCTATCCTGCACTGCCAGCAGGGATGGCTGGTCGTTCCTCACAAAAAGCCAAAGCAGAGACAGCGCCGTGCACTTACCTCACTTAGCATGCAAGCAGTTTGTCTCCTGAGCGCTCTGCTAGGGCAGACACAGTGCATTTCAAACACGAGGTTTGGAACCAAAGCGATGGAGGCTCCTTTTATACCCTTGGAGCAAAGTAACTTGCGGACAGCGTTTAACCCCTGGGCTGCCAGCGCATCACGGGAGCACGTGGCACAGATGCAGAAATGTTTTCCCTTTTCTACACGCTGAGAACCATTCCCGTTTTCCTGTGCTCAGCCAATGCTTAATTATGCAGGAACATATTTGGTTTATTAAGAATTCAGCACTGATTTTGTGAACTGCTTTATTTGCAGTGAACGCTTTGACTTGGTTTATCGCTGAGAAGTGGAAAATGTAAAGCTTGTTAATGGCAGCACCACACAGGGCACAGTTTTTTATTATTCTCTCCTTCCTGCTCAAGTGACCTGGCCTAAAAACTCAGAAGGAGTTTTCTAAAGCTAGCGATTTAGGAATTAATCTGCCTACAAGCTACAATTCAACATGGAAGCCCATCAGACGCTGCCGTAACACCTCATGAAGCCCCGCAGCCGCTCCCCAGGGGGCGATGATCTCCTGCCCGCGCTGCTCACTGGCGCCCTCTCGCGGCCACCGGCGGCTGCAGCGCTATTGCTCAGGGCGCGTCCCCCCCTTCCCGCCCTTTTCTCACCTCGCACCTGAGTGAGGGTGGGGCGGGCTGAGCCGTTATTTTTGGCGGGCTGCTGCGCGGTCCTGTCCCCTCAGTGTGTGGGAAGGTGGTTTGGTTTGTAGGTGAGGGTGCTGCTGCGTGTGAAGCAGTGCGCCTTTTGTCGCCTGTTGCTTACTTTTTGTTTTACTTTCCCTCGTGTGTTTTAGCTCAGGGCTGTGCTCTGCTCACCTTCAAGAGGAAGAAAAATAAAGCCACGCAGAAAAGGGATCTTATGCCATGCAAAAATCGGCTTCAAGGGCTGCGGTGTCAGGTGTGAGAGGCTTCATTTTACAAGTGCGTTATTTGCTAACATCCATGAGGCTTTATAGCACTCGCAGTGCATTTTAATCACGAATCAGGTGGCAGCGAGGGGCTGGGAGCTGCTGCAGTTGTCACAGCGCAGTTAATACGCGCCGCAGAATTAAAGGCTGAACTGATTCCTCGCATTTGAGTGTGCTTTTAAATTCAGCAGCAAATTCAGTGTTGTTATTGCCCGCCAAGATCTTAGGGCATGTGACTTCTGCTTCAATGATGAATGTTGTGGGCTATCGATCTGCTAATTGAGTGCTTGGGATCCCTGTGAGCCCGTTAAATTCAGCACAGATCCTCACACGTTTTAGGTTTGTCTGAAGTGATGCATGGACCGGTTAAACAAAGCGCTGAGACAAACTGCCATAAAGTTGCATGTAATTTGAATGTGTTTACAGCTTTAATTAGCTCACTTTCCCTTTACCTACCTTTCATACAGTGAATTCGGAGGAGAACCAAAAAAGCGTTGGCTATTGAAGCACAGCACAGCCATGAAAAGGAGTTCAGCTGATGCTTCAACCCGCAGCACAGCAGGTATTATCCATTCTTTTGCACTTACAGCTTATTCATCCTTGCGCTCATATCCTGGAGCCCATTTCCTAAGTAGACTTGTACGGATTTCTATGTTATTACGGCACAGTGTAAAGTTTTGGAGGCATGGGGCTGGCAATGAAGTGATACGTATAGCTCACAGACTAATTTGCAGGATGAAGGGCTCAGCCCTGTGAGGCAGTGACTGGGCTACGCTATGCTACGTGCTTATGAACTACAATTCCCATGGGTAATGTAAGTAAAACAATTGTCAGATAATCGCTATTTACATACGTTAAGTGTAGGCTGCATGTGCTCCTAGTGCTGGTATGGTGTTATGGTGTGAATTTTAATTTTAGGTTGTTTGCCTGTGCCTCTCTTCAATCAGAAAAAGAGACCCAGGCAGCCCCTCACCTCAAATCCCCTTAAGAACGAGCCGGGTTCCAGTTCTGTGACTCATGACTTTTCTTCCTCATCACTGGGTAATTAAGATGTATCTATTTTTGATGGCTCTATATCCAACTAAATGTTAATTTTATTCTTGTATTAAACAAGATATTGTCCTTATCAAGAACTATATGCATCCTTTATATTTATTTATGAGAAGCCCATTGTTTAAAACATGTCCTCCAGGAAATTTCTTTCTGCGCAATACAATTGAGCTTTTTTTCCTTCATGCCTGGAGGGAGGTCGAAGCTTTGTGTGCTACAGAATGAAGTAGCATTGGCATTTAAATAGTCTCTTGGATTTCTGACCTTTTGTTTTCAGTTGATTTCAATCAAAATTCAAGCCCAGTATTACAAGAAGAAACACTTACAAGATGTCTTTCTTGTAATTGAGAAGAGAACTTCTGTTCTTCAAATTGTACTTGGAAAGAATGATGCAGTATTCAATCATTGTTTTTCTTGTGACAAAAACGTGTCTGTGCTAGTAAGAAAGCGCCATCTAGAAAAGCAGTCTACTTGCTAGAAGTTGTCTTATAATTACAGATGCCCAAAAACACATTCCTTTCTTTTTTTTCCCTTTTGTTCCTCCCTCCTGCTGGGACTATCTGTGGAACATTAGGTAGGGCAGGAGCCCTAAGCAGACTTGGTACTTTTCAATCTTTTCACTTTGTATCCATACTCAATCTTTTGTCTTTTGGGAATCAGGTTGGGGAGCTGCAAACCCAGAAGTCGATGAGCTACAGAAAGCAGCAGACAATGGGTATGTATGTTGTACCACTTGTTCTAGATCTGTTCTTATTTGGGCACTATCAATTTGTTTCACAAACTGTGAACTGTACGCCTGCCTGAAAATAAAGCTGCTACTGTGTCACTGATTTTTTAACTTATCTTTGAAAACAGAGCAGATGATCACATGGCTCCTTCCCCTGTGAAATCACCAAATGCACTAAGGCCTAATTTAGTCAAAGCTGGAAGAAACTTGTATGACCGCAGGTTAGTAAAAACTTTAAATTTTATTATCTTTAACCAACGTTATTCTTATGTGAGAGTACATCTCACTGTATATTCTAGTGGCATTCTGGAACACCCTTTTAATTTCCAGGTATTCACTGCTGTCCTTAATAATTACATTCTGCTTATGAGCCAAAAAGAACTGAAATGGGACATCAATTCCAGTGTACCTAAGCCTAATTCAGAAGGATTTAAGCAAGTGTGTAATGGTTGCCCTATAATGGCTAAATTTAATTGTATGTTCTTTGAATCTAAAGAGGCATCAGATTTTTAAATCTAAAACAATACTGCTTTTGTACGCTGTGGTTGCTTATTTGAGTGTTCAGGGTGGATACTGTGGCACTGAATTTATCTTGCATCACACTGCAGGGCAGAAGAGAAGACTCCCAGTACTAAAATTTGGAACAGAAATGAGTGCACCCCTGCAAGTAACAGAACAGGTTCAATATCTGGTAGTGGAACTACTCAAAAGTTTGAGAACCGTTCAAATAATTGGAAACCTGTTCAGCAGCAGAAAGTACCTGATAGCTCCAATTCATCTCAGCACATCAAAACAACAGAAACCAGCCAAACGCGTTCCACTAAAGGACAGTGGCCAGTGAAACCTAACGCTGCGTCAGGAAATCTGCAGGATTATGGTCTGCCATATAAATTGAACTGCAATAGTCAGCAAAATAGCATGAATGAAAAGCAATTTGATTGCATTCCAGAAGCCAAAAGTCAGGTAAATTTATGAAGTCAAAAAAGGAAGATGCAGTGAAGAAAACTTTAAAGAGAATTGTGGACAGATGATGTTTCTATCAGACCCAGCTGCCTTAACAAACCCTTAAGTTTCTAAAAATGTAGAGCTGAGATTTTCATATTTTAATGGCCTCCAGTCCTCAGCATGATCATATAAATTGGCTGGGGGTCATGTGCAGAGTCTGAACAAATACTTTAAATATGGGATATAGAATAATACTTGAACACCTACGTGCTTTTGCAAGTCTTCGAGTGTGTATCTCTAACTCAAGTTTTCATCTTCCTCCAAAAGGATGTTTCTTCATTTCAATTAAAGCTTAAAGAAAAAAGGAATTCTTTGCGAATCGTATCTGCAGTCATTGAAAGCATGAAGCACTGGAGCCAATACACTTACAAAACTCCAATATTATTTGAAGTTTTAGGTAAGCGTGGGGGGCTTCCCATGGAAAGTGACTTAGTGTGGTTTCACTTGGCACGCTAACTGATGTTATCTGAGAAATGAGCGTGGTAAAAGACAACAGAAATGACTAAGCCCATTAAATTAAGATGAATAAAAATACAGTGTAATGACATCTCAGCAAACTATTATTGTGACACAGCCAAGATATTCATAATGTTTAATGTTGATTGGCACATGAGGATCAATATAACTTGGAGAACTGTGTTCTGCTCTGGCTAACAAGGGAATAACCCCTTTACAGTGACTGTTATGACAGTGACATTTTGTCACTCCAGTTAGGCAGATTTTAAATCCAGTTTTACTGTTAGAAGAGTATTAGAAGCCCATAACATACTGGAACTTCCAGGGCTGTCAGCAGGTTGTGACTGGAAACTGATGCTGATTGATACACCGTTGTGCTTTTGTGAAGGAAATGTTGTCATGATGTCTTGATATCATATTTAGTACAGCTCTGATGTTTACATTGTGCCTTGGTTTTGTTACATGCTGTAGGCACCCTTGATTCTGCAGTCACATCTGGAGCGTACAGAGCCAAGAATTTTCTTTTGAGAGATGGAAAGGAGAGCCTGCCTTGTGTTTTTTATGAAATTGTAAGTATTCCATGTATGTACATAACAAAGACACCACTGCATGCAGTGCCTTTAGGAAGTTAATAATGTGGTGTTCTGAGAAAACAGAAAATAGTGTTGTAAAAGGAAGACTGGGTGCTTATACATTATTGTACCCAGGCTGGTGTAGAGCAATAATGCAGCTGCTATTTGGGCACCCTCAGACTTCAGTTTCACCAAAAATATTGAAGATGCAGGTTGGGCTTTCAGTTCAGCTCCTAAGTTGTTGATAATAGCAAAAAGAAAAAAAAAATTATGTAAATTCCTTCAGTGTTTGATACAACTTCCAGAAATGCACTAATAAGCAGCAATCAGGCATTTGGAAAGCCTCCATGATAGAAAGGTGACGGAATGTCTTTGTTGCATTTTTGCTGAAGGATCGCGAGCTTCCAAGACTCATTAGAGGCCGTGTGCTCAGATGCATGGGAAACTATGACACAAAAAAGAACATTTTCAAGTGTGTCTCTGTAAGACCAGCAACTGTTCCAGAACAAAACACTTTTCAAGAATTTGTTAAAATTGCAGATGTTGAGATGACAGCCTATGTAAAAACAATGAATGAAATTTAAATGTAAAGGTTGTATAAAATTCATTTACTCAAACTAATGCTGAAAAATGTGACTAAATAATTGAAAATATACTCTGTTATCAACAAATGCTAAGGACAGCATTTTGTTTCCACTATTACTCTCACAGTGTATTTTCTCTGCCTATCTGTGCGATAACAGCATTTGTTATGTAGTTCATTGGATTTTACTGGAGAAATTCTGAATTAAAGTGTTGAAGTTGTTTATATGAACGTAACTTATTTATATGAACTGTTCCTGCTTAAGTAGAGTGAGGCAAATTCTGTTTTTTTGGAATGGACTGTTCAATGAGTTTTATTTAAAAACAAACAAAAAAATCCATGGATCAGTGAGAACTGCAGGGAGTGCCCCACTCGTATCCCTTTTGTCTGTTACCCCAGTGTATGCATCCTTAACAGCAGACCAGGCTGATTAGTGGCCTCTTATCTCTCCCAGTCACTGAAGAAAAGACTTAATAGTGAAACTTCCTTCCATTGAGGCACGAGGAGGAGAAATGAGGCCGAGCCACAGGTGGCTAACGAGAATGAAAACGGTGCCTCCTTCTTAGAGATGGCCTAAGCCTGAGGAATTCTCAAACATGTTTTGAGCATCCCTAAGGGGATCAAACCCTTCTCTTACCTTCTCACCTCCATGACATACTGCCTATACGTGCTACCTACTGTACATTTTATTTTCCCCTTTTGGTGTGGTGGGCTTTTGTTTGTTTCTATGCCCACAAGCAATCAGTTTAGACCTTTACAAACAATTTGCTGAGAGTGAAATTTTATGTTTCTGAGTTCTGTAATACTTGGCCACACAAATTTGACTTTGACAGTAGTTCAGGTGTCTCAGAAAAAGGATACTGTCAAAACTAATTCACACTGCCATTGCTTCTTACCTTCAGCTATTAGAAATACCTTCAGTACCTGTTTCAGAATGTTGACTGTGGTGAGTGTTTGGTCAAAGTTCAGTAGTGATCAAACATCAACAAAGTTCTTTGTGTGATTTCATTAAAATTGCTCTCTGCTAGAAAGTAAGATGGTGTATCCTGCTTCAGTTTCCTTTGAATAGCAACAGCATGTGTAAGAGCTCTTCTAGAAAGGCACATAACAGGCACTGCAGAAGGATTTCACAGGATACAGCTGTACACAGTAGGTATTCATATGGTTCCCTTTGCTACACCACTAGTTGTACTCCTCTTTAAAAACAGCGGATCATTATAACACTTGTTTAAACGAGCAGCACGCCCTGTAGCTGTGGGAACATTGTTCAAGGACATGCAGGAAGTTGGAAAATAATTACTTGAGCACAGAACTTCCTTGCCTTTGCCATAGGAACATCCTGTGAGGGGCGGTCCACATGCATGTTTGTGTCTTTGCCTTCAAACGTCTACTCTCACACTTATTCCTGTTGTTTCTATTTCCATCTCCCCTTACTTCAACACCTTGTACCAAATTTGTTGGAATTTTTTTTTTAATAAAAAAAGAGAGAGATGTTAAGAAAACAGTGAACAGTGATTTTTTTTTTTTTCAAATTTTTTTATTATACAGTGTTGGCAATTGGAAATTTCACATTTAAAATAATTGAAGTATTGTATCCAACAAGTCAAATACAGAAAACAGTTAATATTCTAAAAAGGAGCCAGCTAGTCAATGCAGAAACACATTAATGGAAAATACAGCTTTTAGTTACACTTAGAAAATTATATATTTAGAATAAAACTTGAACCTGATCCCATAAATTGTTTGACTTTTAACAAGAAAACGCTTTACACAGTTCAACTCGCAGACAGTCTTTATTTTAAAAAGTGATCTGTCAGTGTTAGCATATGGATTGTTAGCAACACCCTACTGAAGCTGTCAGTTGAGGAGCTAAAGCATATGCTTTCCTAACTGTGCTAAGAATCCCTTGCCTTATCTCTGTCTTCTGTGCTAAGCTGGTTCTGAGCATGGATGTTTCAAGGAAAGTTTTGCCTGTCCAGTTGTAGGGGTCCTGTACTTATGCTTCATTTCCTTAATGTATGGTAAAACATCAACAAAATTTCCAAATGGAGGCAGTAGTTGGGTTCATGGAAGGAAACAGAGCCTGACAGCGCTCACAACAAAAGAGGCTGAATTTAAAGAAGTGAAAGATTTGGTACAGCAGCGTTGTGAATTGTAGAACTCCATTAAAACAGTACGTTGAAATTACGAGGGAGGTTTGAGCTGTGGGGCCAGAATTGCAAGAGAGCGTGTGTGTGTGTGTGTGTGTGTGTGTGTGTGTGTTCAACACCACACAGTGCTGCAGTCCTCAGATTGTGGTTGAAGGTTCTAGTTCTGCACATGTAAAAGTTAACAAGCAATGACAGGAACTGATTGGCTGTGCTCAGCAGGTATGGTGTGGATGTTAAGAAAATCACAATTTTGCTCGTGGATTTTAGGTCCTTGCAATTTTTTTTTTTTTTTTTTTTGCACACTAACAAATCACTTTTCTAGTGGAACATGAAGTGACAGTCTTAAACGTTACACAAAACAGAAAAAACCCTACATAATACAGTTTATACACATTACACGTTTCAGTTGTTGATTCTTTTTAACCATATTGATCCTGTCTTGTCTAATGGTTCTAGAGTAAAGGCACAGGTTGGTTAGGAAAGAAAAGCCTGCATCTCTGTCTCTCTCTCTCTACTTTGTGGTTATCATTTTCTTTTTACTTGTTGGTCGTTATTCCTCACTTTTCTGACTTTTATACAAAAATTGTCAATTTTAGCTATTTGTCTAGAGGATGTTACTGGGAAGCGTGCTACTATACAGAAATGATGGAAATCAATTCTGCTTAATTTTGACATTCCTTTAAGCTACTTTGTTAGGTATCTGGAGGATGTCATCTCTTATTCACTGAGAGCAAAAACACACAATGCTCTTTCTCTAATTCTCAGTGTCCTTAATTCTACTGTGAAATCTGTGTTTCCAAAGGTCAGTGATGAAACTTAGTGTGCAGAATTTGCTTTTGGAGTGCATGAAAACGTAACAGCAGATCATTATTTTGGAAAACAATGCAACAGTCCATTGATGTTCAGAAGCGTGAGGAATGTAAACCAGACTGTGGGAGTCTCTGACGTATTAAAATTACACAGTGATTGTTCTGTCTGTTTGCATTTGCTTATACATCCTCAACATGTCTCTGTCTGTTCCTTCATGTACACGTTCCATAAAAAAACAACATAAAAGCAGCACTAACTTCTGGAATTAGTTGGGCTCAGATAAATGAAGAGTAATGGACTTGATCACTTAGGTTGTGCCAAAATGCAAACTGAGACATACGGCTCTGAATTAAATATAATCTACGTGCCTGTTAATAAATAATAGAAAATAAAATATTAGAATTCAAATTATTTTAAATGAAACACAGAGCAGTGGGGGGAGCTTAGAACCCAATGTTTCCCTTCCTTAAGGAATCAAGTGCACTTATTTCAGTCTTTGATAGTAATGAATCCAATGCTACTGAGGAGATCAGATGAATTGCACACACGAGCCCACGAACTACGGCCATGTGCTACTTCTGACGTGGAATCAGAATCTTCTTCTTCATAGGATGCAGTAACACTTCCCATCTAAACATATTACAATAGCAGGATCTTAAAAGGATTGGATATGCTAGAATCTGGTCAATTCTGGCTTGTGTTGCCACTACACATAAGGGCCACAGGGCACACACTTGTAAGCACAGATTGTTGTTTACTGCCTTAAAGAGCAGCAACAGCAAATCTGCAGTTGTCATAGTTCAAATCATTCTGCAAGATTCCACTTAAAATAAGAATTGAAGAAACATGGGAAAAAAAATACTTTCTTAACCTGTTACATCATCATGAGCCTTTGGAAGCAGTTACATCTCTCTGTTATCTTCATGAACACGACTGTAAATCTGGAGGATTAGATCAGGATGAATGTGTCCTGACAACTGGCAATATGGAGGTACTACTAATACATAGAGATTAAAAAGAAAATTGTTCTGGTATACACTTTTAGTTATCAGGCTTAATTGTAGGCCATGGCTACTAGTAGGCTTTTTTTTTCTTTTTTTAATTAACCAAAATAATTATAACAAAATATTGTTATTGGTTTTAAAATTAGTGGGTTCATAAAAGCTTTCACATTTAATAATATATAAAAAGTGGATTGAAACTTTTTAAAAGTCTTAAGGTTTTGAGACACAAAAGAAACAGCCTGGGAGGTAGACAGATGTTCTGAGGATAAACTGACACCAACTTTTGCTAAGGCTGTGTTCGGAGCAGCACAAAGGCTGCTGATTCATCTTAGTTTAATTCCAGAGCGTTCGCTACTCGTGTGTACGGAAGACTATCAATGCACTTTTGGTCTTTGTGAATCTGACCTTCTCTCCCCATCTCCTTTTTTTTTTTTTTTTTTCTTTTTTTCTTTTTTTTCTCTTTAGCAATACAGCTAAATGGAAGTGCTATAATAACTGCTGCCCATTGCCCGTAGACAGGAATGTTCTGTTCTTCAACAGTAATCAAATACTATAAAATAGTAGGTATTGGAGTCGGAGATATGTGCTCTTTTGGTGCATATTTTGCAAAGAATGGTAAAAAGACAGACAACATGACCCCCACAATTGCCAGCATATACCCCCATCCAATCTGGCAGTCTCCTGCATAGTAGATGTCTGAATTCTCACAGAATCTCTTCACAGTAGCAGAGTTGAAACCAAAAGGGTAAACCAAAAGCCCAGAAGCCATAATGAACACTGGAGAGGAGAAAAGAAACCACTGTTACTACTGAGCTTTTAATTCCTTTGAAAGAATTCTTTGTTTTAGAAAGGCAAATGCATAACATTTAAAGCAGTGGGGAAAGTTATAGCTTAAAAATACTCCTGATTGTCAGAACATTTTTCATAATTATCTCTGATGAACAGTAGTGTCATAACGTGGCAGCCAGTTAGCGCTGGGATTTTTTTGCATGAGAACTGTTGCTCATTACATAATGTCTGGAATGCTGTAGCGCACA